TGTATTTTTTAATCCTGAAAAGGCCCGTGTGTTCTCCTTAACATGTGTTTTTAGTCAATCGTGTCTAGGTTTCTCCTAATAAAGTTCTAACTCCATCTCTCCTTGTTGATGTTTCTCCTCTCACATGGCTGAGAACGAGCTCTAGCATCGATCAGGCTGCCCGCCAGCCTCTGCTGCTCAGAGATCACAAAAATTCCCATCGCCCAGAGTGGCAGGAATGAGGGGAGGGTTTGGCCAGGGGGATAAATAATAAACATTGGGAAATGATTGATTGACTGGCTAACAGAAACCCCCTCCAGCTCCCCTGCCTGCCTTTGCATCACCAAGGAAAACTGGGAAGAGCTGGTCAGAGGGCAGAGCTTCCATCCTCTAGCAATGGAAACGCTCGACCCTTGCATCTCCTGGCACATCTCTGCACCCAGAGAGGTCACCTGTGATGGGAGGCCAACTCAGCAGGGAGAGGGCAGCAAAACCTGTGCCCCAAGCATCTGACTGCTTTTCCATGAAGTAACAGGGCCCTGATGTCTTTTTAAGAGACAAGGTCATGAGAGGCATTGAAAATCCACTAACCATCTCTGCAGCGTTCCTGTGGGTACTCAAATCTCTTAAGACAGAGTTGCCCAGCCCACAGAAAATCCCTTTCTTCCCCCAGCTATGCCTCTTCTCTGAACTTCATCCTTTGCTCCCACTTTGCAACTTTCACAGGCTCTTTCCTTCTGACCTTGCATCCCTCTGTCCATCCAAAGGAAGTGCCTTTCCTCCCTTTCTCCACACGACCTCCCACCCCTTGGGACTCTACAGGCTGGGAAGATGGAGACCAGTAAAGTACTGGGTCCCAGGAAGGAGCCTGAGAGGGGGCATAAAGAATGAATTCAGAATTCAGTGAGGACACTGGGACAAGGATCTTTAACTGTGTTAGAAACTACAGGGACCCTTTGAGACTGGTCTGGGGATTTTCAGCCCAGAAGTGAGGATACCATCTGAGCTCCCACAGCCACAAAATGCCACGAGAAGGCAGGATTAGGCTGCAGGCCTTGGGTGTTTAATTGGCATTTGCACGGCCCTGAGCATGCCTATCCCATAGGGTGCCACCTTGCCGGGAGAGACATGCAATGAGGAAGTCAAGGAGCACTCCCCTTGGAAAACTTGGCTATTGAGTGATATTGCTGTTTAGTAGAGCCACTCAAGCATGAACCCAGGCCTTGTTTAATAAACTGTTCTTCGTTTAAAACAAGCAGTAGCCCAAACTTTAAAAGCTCTGAGCTACAGTCTCTGCTGGGGAGCAAGAGGGAAAAAGAGGATAGGGATGTCCTCTGTGCCATGTCAGACCTCTACGATCCAAGCACATTCACAGGTGGCATTTTGGTGATTTTTGTGACCACAGGAATACAACCATCGCAGCTCTCTGTTTCCCATACTAGAGATGGCATGGATCCAAGCAGGTGATTTCCCTCTGCCACTCATTTCTTAATGCCATTTCTTCTCATGGTTCTGTCCTCTAGGTATAACAAGTGGGGAATATTTGATGGATTGATGTTTGCACTGGCTGACAGACCACAAACTTGTGATTCTTGGAATCCACTGTCAAGGCTGGCCAGGCTATCACACCATAACAGGAGCACATTTACCTCAGGTTGGCCTGTCCTTTCAGACAGATTTAGTATGTCTTGCTCTGTACCAGATGGATGGGTGGACAACCTTATAGTTGTGACCTGAATCAACATTATATATTAAGTTCAGTCCTTGGATAGGCACTCAATCTTTAAATAGCAGCATTACAAAGACCTCTGAGAGGGAGACAAGAGAAAACGTGAGAGCTTTTCATTCTGCTCTTGTCCCTCTTTTCTCCAGGGTCTTACCTGCTGTGGTCTGCTCAGACTGTCAGAACTCTGAATTCTCCAGCAGCAGCTGGAACCAACATTTGACAGAAACACCATCCCCAGTCATCTCCTTGGTCAGCACACCTCAAATCATTTCCTTCTCTAACTGATGTTTGAAGGAGTCAGAAGTCAGTTCTGATCTACAGCTTGTGCTGATCAGCTGCTGAGTCTAAGATAGCAGGATAGGGAAACATGCATTTCAACAGGCCCTCAAAACAGAAATACTTAATGCTATAAAAGGAAAATCTATATTTAAAAATACATAGAATGCCAAAACTAATAAAGTAATGAATTGAGACAAGGCCATGCCTCTAAGTTCCTCTCCATGAACAGCACGGTGGGACAGCTGAGCAGGCCAAGAGACAAATGAGGGAAAAATTGAGAGAGATACTTAAAATAATGGCACGTGGGTCAAGCAAGTTGTATCTTATTTCAGAATATGTGAGCAAGGCAAAACTCAAACAAACTCTATGGTGGTAACACTTCAGACAGTTAAAAGGGAATAGGTAAAAAGATGAAAAAGATGATAGACTACACAATCTGCCCTCAAACACTCCTCCATGAAATATCGCTGAGGCCAAGGAATTAGGAAGACCCAAAACCCAAAGAATAAAAGCACTGTGTGTCCGTAGGAATGGGAACATGCTTGACTGGACTGCAAATGGCCAAAGAACGCAAAAATTCACAATTCAAAAAGTCAGCATAGCACAGACAACGCTGCTGCCTCCCGGGAAGGCTGGGACTAACACAGGCACGAGGGGAACTGCTGCTCCCAGGGGAGCTCCCTCTGCCTCTGCTCCCTTGGGAGGCTCTCAGCAACCACACAGTCTGACCAGAGGGATGCACAGGCTCTGACTGCCCCCAGGGGATTCCAACACCTCATCCCAGCAGGGGTTACTACAGAAGGGGATCCTGCATAGGGTTGATGCCAGCTTTTGCACACATTTGTGAACAAAAGTGCAATGTTTCAGTGATTTGGGTTACCAGCTGCAGCAGAAGTGTGGATGGACTGAGAATGAGGATGGAGAGTGGCAGCTTTATAAGATACACTTTGCAGGGGGAAGAACTGTGACTCTGAAGTGCAAAATTAATAGCTTTGCTTTTGCCTGAAGTGTTCATTGCTTATATGGTCTAGATGATTAAAGATCTTTCTGGGGAGCACGGGAATTGCAATACCATACATATATAACATTGTCATGAAAATATGATGACAGAAAAAGAAAGAGAATCAAATGAGCTTGTAACACTCACTCCAGCCAAATAATGCAGAAATGCTTCATTTTTTCTTCAGTGAACATTGGTTCACATTTTGAAAAATGAATTTACTGAGACCACATTCACATACCACCACTGGTTTCCCACAGACATTTGAGCAATTGAGTTTGACGGGCAACAGAGTTCTCAGAAAGTAAATGTCAGTCAAGGACACTAAATTTTAGATTCATATGGGCCAATATCCACCCCAGAGGCAGCTCTGTGCTCCTCCAGCCGTCGGGAAGCACAAACAGTATTGTGTAACCAATCCTGCCAATCCCAAACCAAACCAAACACCTCCGCTGGAGACTACATGCAAGAAATTCTCACCAAAAGACATTTTAAAGACCTCATTGCAGTTACAACTTCCTTGGAGGGGAAGAGGAGGGGCGGGAACTGATCTCTGCTCTGTGGTGACCGGTGACAGGACTTGAGGAAAGGGTGTGAAGCTGAGGTGGGGGAGGTTTAGGTTGGACATCAGGAAAAAGTTCTTCACACAGAAGGTGGTTGGGCACTGAAGCACACTCTCTGGGGCAATGGTCACAGCACCAAGCCTGTCTGAGTTCAAGAAGCATTTGGACAACACTCTCAGGCACGTGGTGTGACTCTTGGGGTATCCTGTGCAGGGCCAGGAGTGGGACTCGATGATCCTTGTGGGTCCCTTCCAACTCAGCATTTTCTGTGATTCCATGAATATACTCTGGTGTCAGCATAAAACAAATTCCCCTTCCTCTTAATGCAGTTTGCCACGCCAGGCTTCACAGCCAACCTACTAACACAAATCCAGCAGTCTCTGGATGAACAAAAGCAATTATTCCACATTTGCTGGGAAAAAAGTATTTCCCCAGAGCAAGTCAGGAAGCAAAACTCAGAAAAACTGCAATATTTACATGTTCCTTTGGAATTATTTCTGGACAGAGGCCTGTAGGACTGCAAAAACCAAGTCCCCTGCAGAGCACTGTTATTTTCTGAGAGGACATCTCCATCTCCTGGAGCTGGATCACAGCGGGGAGTAGCTCTGGGATTACTCAGAGCTGGGGCTTGTGACTCACTATTCATACGCAAAAGCTCCTCTTTATCATAAAGTTATTTTAGAGAGGAAGGGGTAAAACAGATGGGGCCAAGCTAGAGATCAAAATCTCACCAGAGAGTTAAATTTCATGCTGGTGTCGGACATGGACCTAATCTTAAGAAGGCATGTCGATGACGGTCAGCTATATGACAACACAAAGAATGCAAAAGGCACATCGAAAGATTTTCCTAGAAATTGGATATGGGTGGGTAGGCCACGACATTTTTAACAACGGCCCCAGCAAAACCCAACACTCTCATATTCAGCTGCATGCGAGGTTTCACTAGAAATCATGTTAACCACCAGCTCCTACCCTTAAAAGGAATCAGATTAGCAGCAAGAGGCAAGCCTGAGGTCAGAAACTTGCTGCTATTTGTTTGGGTTTGTTTTTTAAGTAAATGCCGTGCCAGCTCTTCAGCCTGGGAACGAAGTTTGAGGTTGAAAAGTGCTTCTGACAGAACCAGTTTGATGGGTGCCAGGCTTCAGGCAAGACTTTTCAGAAACAAGTGCCTAAAATTAGCCATTGTTAAATCATATAGTCCAACAAAACCACGTTTTCTTCCCACCTTTCTTTTCTTCCACTTCAGCCCAGATTCAAAAAAGCACTTAGGTACACATGCATAGCAGAAATTACCATCATCTTTGCTACATAACAGGGACTGTTGACCCAAAAATACAGGTGGCAGCTGCTATTCACAGAAAAATGTGCTTTTTTTCCAATTCATATTCATTTTCCACAGTCGATTCAATTAATTTTTTTCAATCTTTACAGATCACGAGAACTCTTTTCTCACCTGTTTTCCCCCCTGAAATTAGGCTTTGGATTGTTTTTCCCTTCTGTGGTCTTGTATTTTGTTAGGACATAGCTACAGTTTGCTCTCCATATTTCCAGCTTCTCCAGATTCCTTTTACCTCTGACATTTCCAGAGAAACACCAAATTCGAGGACTTCCTGAGAAGTACATTGAAGTGCCCAGTCCTAAATCAACAATAAAGACATTCATTAAATGAAAGAGAACTCAGAACAATCCTCACTGACTCCTGATGGAGATCTCTGACCAGTCAAGCACATCACAGCTCCCAGCACAGTGAGGTACCTGAGAGCTCAAGATCATCAAAGCAAAAACACACTGAGACACTTCAGCCCTTTCCCTCTCCTAGTGCACATCTGGGGGTAAGGTGAACAGCCTGCTGTCTATGGTGCAAATAGGTTATGGGGTCTATAAAGGTGTGCACTGGTACTAACAGAAGTTACTGACCCCACTGGAAATTATTGGTTAAGGTCCTCTCCCCTACACGAAGCAGACAGTCAGACCAGCCACCCCAGCATTAAAACCTACAAATCTGTGAGAAATTCACTGTGGTTGATACACTGCAGTTCATAAGGACTACTTTTTGTCCACAGTGCTGTTGTTTGTTTCAGTCCATTTAGCAATATTCATCAGCTCCCCACTTCAAATTAGGATAACTGAGAGTAAGAGAACACGCAGTAAAGTTTTTTACTAAGGGAGACGTGCCCCATTCCTTTCTCCAACTCATGTGTTGACCCTGTTGACTTGTAGTCATGCTTTACCAGGAATCTTTCTCCAAAAATGTCAAATGCATCGTAAAAAACGTTGTGCTTTCACTTTCTTACAGGCTTACTGTCACTGAAGATTTTAAATCACGTTTCTCTTCCCATTTATTCTATTATCTCATGAGGGAAAGATATTAAACTCCAATTCTAAGGCTGTTTTGCCTCTGAACCTTTTTCATGGCCAAACCCACAGATACTAAAGCCTCTAGAAAAACCCGTTTGTGTCAACCATCCTTAAAATAAATACTAAAACACAGACTTAGGACAAAACCAATGTTAACCATACCATTGTCTGGGATACTTCAAATTCTTCCTCTCGAGGAATCTCAGTCACCCGCATTAAATGACTCCCAGTTGAGACATGAGAACTGGCAGCAGCGTGAATACCCACGGAGCACTGGCTGGTACAGCTGACAGCCAGATGGGATCAGAACAGCAGCAAAAGATAACACTGAGCCTGGACAAGCAGTTCTGGCACCAGTCTGAAAATTTGGAGAGTGCCCTCAGGTTCCAACCCCAGCAGCTTTTGCGTCTGACAACAGGCGAGTCACCTTTGCTTGCCTGAAATTCCCACCTGGAGAAATAATACAGTGGCCCTTGCCTCCCACTAGGGAGGTGCTGAGATCCGACAGGAATGAAATGCCCTGAGATAGACAGTAGGTGTACAGGGGAACCAGAACAAAAAACCTTTTGTGTCCTAAGAAAAATCCGTTGCAGAGGAAGAGAAATTAGGATAAAAGAGTTTAAACCCCGTGTCTTGAGCTGCCAGTGTGCGCACCCATGTAACATGCACGAAAGCAGCAGGACCATTTCCATTTTGTAATAGCTGTGTTTTCATAACCATAAGGGTCCAGAGCTGTCAGGAAAGACCTGAAGGAAAGGTTGTATCTGTCATTCAAACAGCTACTAATATATTTTGAGAAGCAGCTGAGCTCTTGCATATACAAAGCCTTCTGCACGTACTTTGCTACCTCACAGCCTTCCTGGAGAGACAGGGAATAAGTGTTATTCCCATCTGCCGAAAGATAATCTGAGTTTGAATGGCCTACTGAACGCTGCATGAGAAATTACGCTGACTTTGATTCAGCTCAAGTTCCCAGTGCTCCCTCCACGATTCTCACTGTGCATCAGGACCCAGTTTCGAGTTCATTGCCTTCACGTTTTGAATTAGCACCTACCGTCTGCATACAAATGCACTATTTGCAGCTAAAATTTGTACGGCTTTCAAAACGTGGGAAAACTCTCAGAAGAGATGCAGCTCAGTCCCCCCAGCACAGTTGCATGACTTGGGCTCCTGTGTGCTGTTCCCTGCTTTGCCACGGATTCAGAGCACCACCAGGGCACACTGTTAAATCTCCTCCCAGCACAGTCTCTCCTGGGTGGGCACTGGGAATCAGAATGATGTGGCTGTGACCTGCTTTGCTCTGTATGGATGGAAGACATCATGGAAATATGAGCCATAAAGTTAATAAGGGATAACTATGTGTTTCTTAATTAAAGTTATCGGCTGCTGCTTTGCACTGGATTTTTCTCACTGACTGCAGGTAACAGCAACATGCATGTCCTTCGTTGATAAACGTAAAAAACCATGGTATGTCTCATCTCTCTGCTAGCTCTTGACACAAGGAGCATTCACCCTATAATTCTGCAACTGGTATCGCTCCAGATGTGGAGACTGCCCAGCCTCTGCCAGAATTCAGCTGGCTTTGTGCTTCCTCACAGCTGGTGGTGGGGACCTGACTGCTGTTGGCTCCCTGGCATTTTACACCATCCAGTGTCTGTATCAGCCTGCTAAGCAAAACAGTTTTTCCATTTGCCCATATGAAACATATTAAAGAGACCTGACATACATTTGCAAATAGGCACTGTAAAAATAAGGTGACAAGACTCAGCGTCTGCTTTGAAGAAGCTCTGGTTTAGGCCAAGTCTGATTTTCACAAACCTGTGAGAAAACCGAGCGGTTTTTAAAAAAGTTGTTTGGGTTTTTACTTTTTTATTTTTTCCAGGATACAAGAGCTGCAGGACCAAGAATAGAAGGATGAGTTATAAGCCTTTCCAAAGCAGAGATTTAGCATGGAAATTCTGACAACCATCAATGCGAGCAATGCCGCCAGGCACCTCTCACAATCCACAGCATCTTTCAAACCTGTCGGGGGTTTTTAGGAAGGGCTAAAAATAAATGCAGAAATGCAGCAATACACACACACACACACACACACACATATATTATTGTTCAAAAAAGAACAGGTGGTCCTGCCAGCAGTGTAAACACAGATGACTCCTGAAAACAGCTCACAAACACCCAGCTGAGCAGCCTTTCCTCACCACGCAAGCAGCATTTCCAGAGCTCTCCTGGGGTTCTCCCAGTCTGCAAGCCATAATCATCTGGGATCATGACTCTCTGTCATGACAAGGCCTGAGGACTTCCAAGCGTCTTGATCTCCCTCACCCGACGTATTCACACAATTCCACCCTCCTGACCTCTCGTGGATTATTGCCCTTCTGAAAATAACACACATGGAACAGCTGGTGGGGCCAGAAATGTCTTAAATGTAAATAGCACAGGTCCCTGAGATGAGTCCTCTATTCTAGCTCTCCACCACTTGATCTGACCCCTATCCTCATATTTACTGAAGTATTTACTGAAGGGGAAAAAGGATCAGTGCACTATGGACAGCCCAGGAGGACTCAAACAGCAAGCCTGGATGGCTGCACGTTGAAACCCACCAGGTACTTCACTAACTTCAGAAAAGGCAAAGAAGAAAACCTGAAGCAGCCCTGGAGTCTCAAAATTTATCTAAGCCTGCAGAAAAAGAAAAGATAACATTTTGGCCCAGATTTAAGTTATGTCTCCCCTGCACACCACAGGAAGAAGACTGATGTCACAGCGTGTATCACACACATAAATCCTTACTCCTTGAGTATGAAACTAGTAATTCTCCCTGAGTATGAAACCATAATGAAACAACTTTGCTAGGAATCCACTTTAAGGCTCAAGGTTATCCCTTTGTAGCCCTTCTCTCCTGGGCATTTCAAAAGAAAGCAAATGTAATTTACACTTGCACCATCTCCTTTAAATTTCATATCATCCCAAAACATTTGGTTTAAACGTATAGTCACAAGAAGTAAATGAGGTGGTAAAGATTGAAAGGGCCAAATGGTTAAAGTGCTGCCACGGGGGAGCACATCTGCCACCACATCAGAGCATCAGCATCTCAGCACAGTGAAAGACTGGCAGCTCTCCCGCCACACCTGGACAGCTCCACTGCATGGACACAGAAAGTCCACCTGATGTGGATGGGAACAGCTGATCCAGCTCGCTTCTGTGCATGGGGAAAACACTCTCTCAAAGCTGAAGAGAAAACTGCCCTGCTGCTATCCCAGAGAGGTGCATAATTGAGCCGGCGTGATGCCGCAGACTCCCGAATGCAGCAGATGGCTGTGGGCATCATCCAGTTTAGGATGACAAAGTTGCAACAAAAGAAAAACAGAAGGTGGGGAGCACATCTTCTGCGCTGGGTTACAGGGCAGGGGATGAACCTTTGCACAGTGGGTGCACAGCCCAGTGCACAGCCGGCCTCCAGCGCTCCCGCCGCCACACTGACAGTGACCAAATGCACAGGTCTCTAAATTAAAAAGAAAAGTAAGGGAAAAAACCCACGTGTTCCCAGGCAAAAGGGACAGGAAACAACTGGTTGATAACCTGTTTCTAAAATCCACAGAAGAAAATCTCCCGAAATGTGCTCGTGGCACCAGCCCTAAACGCAACAACTCCAACTTCCAGGACTCTCACACATAACCTGCAGGAATTTAGAAATTCAATTATGACCTGCAAGAATCAACACACCATTTCACTGCTGGAAGACAAACCACTGATGTGAAAGCACGCAGAAAAAGAGACAAGATGCGTAGATCTGTACAGTGGACCATGAATGGTGTCCTGCAGGGAGGGCTTGGTCTGCGGTGGCACTTAGGAGTTTATTTTTGCCAATTCCACCCCAAAGGATCACAGAAACTAGGAGTGGAAACATTCCTTCCATTTCCCCAGGCGCCTTGCTCACAAAGCAGCTGGCTACAAGGTTCACCACGACAGACAGACCAGAGCAGACAAGAGCGATACAGCTCCACAGGAAGCCACACAGCACACTCGAACAATTTATAAACAAATTTCTGCTCTTTATGAGCACAGTACAGCTTATGTGCCCAGGTTGACTAGTTTATAATAGCCACTGTGGTCACCCATCCTTCCAGGACACAGAGACATCATCATTAGCTCTGCAGCTGGGAATGGCCAAAGCTCTTTTGGCCGCAGGATGCAGCAGCCTGTGATTCTGAACATGAATACTGTGCCAGTTCTTGCCCATTTTGCACCTGAGATTTCAGCAGCCACAATCACCTCAAGGGGCCAGAGTGAAAACACCTTCATTGTACTCAGAGAGCCAGTCATGGGAACATTTTGGGGTGGAAGAAGCACTTGGAAGGGCGGGAAAACACTGTGCTAGAGCAGAGCAGCAGATGCTCCACCCAGGAGTGGCTCTAGCAAGCAAAGCACTTGGCCATTAAGACATATTCCATGCACTCCATGCAGTCCACGGAGCTGCCCCGAAACAGGCACGTGCCCCTCAAGGCTGGGACACAGAGATATGTTTGTCATGAGCTGCTCATGGCTCACTTTGGGCAGTCACAAAGGGCTGGTTCTGCCACCGTCCTGCAGCAGACAGCATCACTGCCAGGCTCCCAGCCCAGCCTGTGTCATGAAGAACTGTGGAAGAACATTTCCAGTTCACCCTCTTTGCTGAGCAAAAAAGCACTTGGGAAAGGAATGAAAGAAGCCAAGGCAATATGCCTGTTTTCTGACCCAAACCAATCCAAGGGAAACAGACCCACCTAACCAAGGGTATCCAAATGTTATTTGTGTCTCTGCCCCACAAGCATTTAACAGTTAATCTGTGATTTACACCACAGAGACCTATAGACTTTTCATAGGATCATAAAATCATAGAATGGTTTGGGTTGGAAGAGGACCTTGAAGATCAACTAGTTCCAACTTCCCTGCCCATGGGCAGGGACACCTTCAACCAGACCAGGTTGCTCAGAGCCCCATCCAACCTGGACATCTTTTACCTTTGTTCAGGGACAATGTGTTCACTTGGTCCAAGAAACAATAAACCACTCAAACTCACGAGGCTAAATTGTTTCTTTGGGGGGTATTTTTTAAGCACTATTTAATTTCAATCCATGTCACGGAACAAAATAATCTAATCATGATAGTTTATCTCACACCTTATCAATGTATCAGCCACAAGATAACTGCGTGACTCATTCAAACTATGAAATCCACTATGACTCAGTTTCCTCTCCCAAGAAAAAGAGGACATAAATGCAAACTTGTCAAATTAGTGTGTCCTGAGGAGTGATATATTTGTGAAGCACTATAAAAAGGCAAATGAGAGCAATGGTGATATTTCCCAAAGATAGTAATCAGTGTAATTTGGTTAAATTCCAACCAAGAGGAAACTTGCCCTCTGCTTTCAGAGGGGAAAGTTTCCTGAAACTTGCTTGTTCATTAGAGTTCATTAACTTCTTTCGGTGGAAAAAAAACTCACCCTGGCTGGCCCTTGGATTAGCCTTCTGCTCCTTGTCTGGTCACAAAATGCAACAGAAGGGTAAAAAATAACAGGTCCTTCGAAAATATTTCTGTAAAAGATGGTGCATCTTAGAATAAATTTCTACACAGTTGGACAAAGAAAAAAAACCAGGGCAACACCATTTGCTAAAAAATTGACAGCCGCCTGCTATTTTGGAGATCTCTCCTCTAATTGCCCACACCTGCTGTGGTGTGGTATATTCTAAAATATATCTCAACAGAAATGCTGCTTGGCAGCAGCCAAGGCCACCCTGGAGGGCCCCCACAGCCCCAGTCTTCACAACTTCACAGGAACCGGGGTTTTCTTCCAGGGTAACATTTGAATGGAAATTCAAATAAATTCACTGTGAGCCTCACTCCCCGTTTCATCCCTGCTCATTTCTGTCACATCACCTCTCTCTCTTCCTCCCTCCCTCTTCTTAAGTACATTTTCCTATTCCCTCTCCTCCCAGCATTCTTGCCCCTCTCACAACACAAGGCTTAGGCTTGATTCCTCCATTTGTTATCTTCTTGGCTTCCGAAACATCGTTTTTCCTTCTCTCTCTCTGCTCTTGTTGTGCCTCTGTGTTTCACATGCTCTGAGCTCAGAAAACTGAGGTAACCCTTTCAGAACTGCACGGCTCCGAGAGACACGAGGAGATCACCAGATTCCCCCATCTGCACGTGCTGGTGTCTGTGCCAACCTCTCACCACCTACAGCAGCTCCTCCCTCTGGCCTTTGTGCAGGTCACCATCCTCTCCCTCCTTCGCCCTCTCCCTGCTCCCTGCAGGCATCTGCTGCCTGTGACCCTTCTGGTGCCTCCAGCCAGAGGTCCTGTGAGCTCTGCTTAAATCAATGCTAGGCACTGCTCCTGAGAGATAAAGGCATTCTTAGAACTGACACTCAAGGAACTTGGTTTCTACACCCAGGTCTTCCTCCCAAACACAACAGAAATTATTCCGTTGTCTTTGCCACGTGTTTCTATGGCATTTGTACTCCAAGGAATGGTTTGAGGACACTTGCCTTTAAAGTCTGGCAAGCACTGAGTCGCTCTGGTGACACAGGTCATAAATAAGTTTCCAATGGGTTCCCCTGGGAGCAGGAGATTCTGGGTCTGTCAAGAGGACATTTACAGGCACGTGCATTCAGCCTGCATTGAGCTGCTTTCCCAGCCTAGATATTCACTTGGCGCTCGTGCCTCGTGTATCCACATGGGGCTCATCTTTTTTCAGGGGCAACCTTATGGGAAACAATCTTGCAACTCTTTTCAGGATTTCTTTTAATTGCCTGCAGTGGTAAAAATGGAAAGCGGGACAGCTGGGAACTAGGGAGAGGTAGATGGGATAGGAGGGTACACTGGGAACAGGGACACCATGTTCTCTGCTCCTCACTGTCCGGGTTGGCCCCAGGCAGCTCAGGCAGCCCTCCTGCAGCAGTGAGGCTGCCAGCACTCACTGCAGGTGCCGAGCATTTGAATTCAGTGGGGCCAAAACCTTTCCTGGTCTCTGTTGCTGTCGATGCCACACCAGCAGCCATGATGGCAGCCCTAGTGTTAAGTGTTTGGTATGGCTTTAGGGTCTCTGCATCACCCACAGCACGCCACTGGCAACAGACCAAAGGAAAGGCAGCAGGAAGCACATGGATACCAGAAAGCTGAGAGTCCAGGCCCACACATTTCAGACAAAGCAGAAAATCAAAATCTTAGAAACAAAGGCAAGACCTGCCCCAGAGGACAGAGGAGACTCCTTTACCTGTGTAACAAACTGTGGGCACTTCACGAGGCCTCAGAGACACCACTGCCTCACTGCAGCAACCTCCACTCAGCAGCTTTCCTGAAGACATCTTTTACTGCAGACATTCTCTTTTGCCCAATCTTCACGACATTTTTCTAGTGTGCTACCTTTCAAAGACACAGTCCACCAGTTCCAGGGTTTTGGGGAATGCTTCAGCTCCCAATAGACAGTGCCTGCTTTCAGGTGGGAAAAACAGGAAGGAGGGAGATAGTGAGAGCAGTGTAGTCAGGTCTGCAATTGTCTATAGCCAAGTTAAAGAACTGATCTTTACAGACAGTAAAATAACTGTTTGATAGCTTCCATCAGCACAAGTAAGAAGAAAGGGAGGAATAAAACAGGTCCTGGGCAACACAGAAATCCAAATCTACTGGAGTCTATAGCATACATAAGGAGGCAGAATGGCAAACAAGGGGGGGACACAGAAATCCCTAATAAATCTAAATCAAGCAGATGTGGCCTAAAAAACAAGGGAACTGACTATTACTTATGCCAGTGACTTCACCACAAAGCCTTGAACCAGAAGGTTCATAGGAACCAAGGTGACAGTAACCTGTTGATTGCTTTATAGTGTCCTATAAAAGCCCAAGAATGCACAGCTCTCTAGCTTTCACATAGATCAGTTACTGTGAGGGTGGTGAGGCACTGGAACAGGTCACCCACAGAACGTGTGGATGCCCCATCCCTGGAAGTGTTCAAGGCCAGGTTGGATGGGACTCTAAGCAACCTTGTCTAGGAGGTGGCATCCCTGCTGATGGCAGGGGGGTTGGAACTAGGTGATCTTTAAGGTCCTTTCCAACTCAAACCATGCTGTGATTCTATGAATCTATTAGCTACTGTGCTAAAAAGATGCTGAATAGAATTGAAGAGTTAATTTGTACAGACTCACTGGTCCTCCACATCACTGCCAGGAGAGAAGAAACAATGGTTTGACGAGACAAGGATTGGAACACGCACCTCCAGACACTGGTTTCACATTCACCCTGGACAGCTTGGCCAAGTACTGCTGGGGGATGCCGACAAACAACGCTGAAGCCCTCCAGGTACCTCAGGTTACATGGCAGGGCCTTGACTTTACCTGCCTCACTGTTGCATCTCATCTCCAATGGCAATGCCAGCACTGTGTTGGCTCCCAAAGCTATGGTGGGAATGAGAAGCCAGACAAGACTAGCTCAGTGCCCACTGCTCCATTCCCAGACTGTCTGCACTTGGGCATCCAAACTGAAAAAGACCTTGTTTAGTAAACTGGCAGTGGAAAAAAGCTTTCATCTAAACAAGAACAACAAACAAATTGTCATTTCCACATTTAGCACCAGCTGCAAAGCTTTGCGGGTGAGGTTAATGGGGTGAGCAAGTACAGGCAGGGAGATAGACAAGTTACAGGTTGAAGCAGAGCTGTTCCCTCTCTCAGCAAAACACTGCCATTAACACCTGAACTAGAGAGAACTAGGAGAGGGAAATTTCTCCCACTGCTGATGCTACATCCACCCAGGCCAATTAAAGATCAAAGCACTGCACAGATGACTGGTGCATGTGAGATCTGAGCCAAAAGAAACACTCTCCCCTTCCCAAAGCTCCCCTCCCCACCAATGCCTGCTAACAGGAGGGCACAAGCAACCAGATGGGGAGGAACCAGGGGACTCTCTCCCTCCTTGCAGGCTCTTCCCTCAGTACTGGATCCAATCCACCTGTAAAGCACCAGCAAGGCTCTTCTGCCTGAGCACACCACTCCCACGGCCCTGGGAGCCTCTGGGGAGAGGGGGGAAATTGGGGGTTTAAAAAAAAATAAATCCCAGCCCAAAAGGGTTTTTCCCATCCGGGAAGCTGCACAGAATCACAGATTCAATTAGGCTGGAAAAGACCTCTAGGATCATCGAGTCCAGCCTATGACCGAGCACCATCATGGCAACTAGACCATGGCACTGAGTGCCACATCCAGTACTTTCCTTAAACAGCTCCATGAACGGTGACACTTCCCTGGGCAGTCCATTCCAATGTCCAGTGACCCTTCCTCTGAAGAAATTCCTCCTAATGTCCAACTAAATCTCCCCTGCCATACCTTGAATTTGTTTCCTTGTGTCCTGTCACTTGTTATCTGGGAGAAGAGACTCCTCTCAGGAGTTGTAGAGAGTGACAAGGTCACCCCTGAGCCTCCTTTTCTCCAGGCTGAACAGCTCCAGCTCCCTCAGCCACTCCTCTTAACACTTGTGCTTCAGACCCTTCCCCAGCTCCACTGCCCTTCTCTGGACATGCTCCAACACCTCAGTGTCTTTCCTGGAGTGAGGGCCCAGAGCTGGACCCTCACCAGTGCTGGGTACAGGGGGACAATCCCTGCCCTGATCCTGCTGGCCACACTATTCCTGGTACAGGCCAGGATGCCATTGGCCTTCTTGGCCCCCTGTGCATACACCGGCTCATGTCCAGCAGCTGGACTGTTTTCCAGCTGCTCTTCCCCAAGCCTGTAGTGCTGTATTGGGGTTACTGTGTCCAGTTCTGGGCCCCTCAATTCAGGAAGGATATTGAGGTGCTGGAGCAGGTCTAGAGAAGAGCAACCAGGCTGGTGAAGGGACTGGAGCACAAGTCCTATGAGGAGAGGCTGAGGGAACTGGGGCTGTTCAGCCTGGAGAAGAGGAGGCTCAGGGGAGACCTCATCACTCTCTACAACTCCCTGACTCCCTACAACCGTAGCCAGGTGGGGATTGGTCTCTTTTCCCAGGCAACTCTCAGCAAGACAAGAGGGCATGGTCTTAAGCTGTGCGAGGGGAGGTTTAGGTTGGATATTAGGAAGAAATTCTTTATAGAAAGGGTAATCAGGCATTGGAATGGGCTGCCCAGGGAAGCGGTGGATTCTCCGTCTCTGGAGGTTTTTCAGATGAGACTGGATGTGGCATCAGTGCCATGGGCTGGGAACCGCAGTGGTAGTGGATCAAGGGTTGGACTTGGTGATCTCGGAGGTCCCTTCCAACCCAGCCGATTCTATCATTCTATGACACCGTGAATCCCACAGGGAAAAGAACTAAAGGCGGGGAGACGTGACAAGCCCCGCACCGGCCACGGGGCGCCAGCGCTGCCCCCCCGGAGGCGGTGCCGGTGCCGGTGCCAGGGGCGGCCCCGGGGCGGGGGAGCCGCCGGTCCCGCCCAGCCCTGCCCGGGATTCCCCTGCGCGGCGCCCGCCGGGAGCCGCAGTCCGCGCCGGGCCGCCTCAGCAGCCCGGAGCCCGCGGGGGGGCCTCGGTTCCTTCCCGCCGGCCCCCGCGCCCCGGCCGTGCCGACATGGGCTGGGGGTCGCGGCTGGTCGTGCTGGGCGGCCTGGCCGCCTGGGCGCAGCGGCGGCGGGCGGCGGCGGCGGGCCGGGATGGCGGCGAGCGGCGGGAGCTGGAGCTGAGGCTGGTGCAGGTGGTGTTCCGGCACGGGGCGCGCACCCCGCTGCAGCCGCTGCCGGGGGCCGCGATGGTGAGCACGGCACGGCACGGGACTGGCACGGGACGGGGGCGGCGGTGGCTGCCCCGCGGCGGAGCTGCTGCCTTTGCTTCCCTGATGGCAGGGGAATAGATAAATTCACTCCCCCCAGAGTAAATGTGGGGGGAAACGTGGGAATTTGGGAGCGTGGACCCCCATGCATCCCGACAGGCTTGGGGAAGAGGCCTCCTCCGCCTTGGAAAGCGGCCTAGCGGGGAAGGGCCTGGGGGTGCTGGTCCACAGCAGCGGGACACGAGCCAGCGTGTGCCCAGGGGGCCAAGAAGGCCAATGGCATCCTGGCCTGTATCAGGAACACTGTGGGCAGCTGGATCAGGGCAGTGATTGTCCCCCTGTACTCGGCACTGGTGAAGCTGCACCTCGAGTGCTGTGTCCAGTTCTGGGCCCTCACTCCAGGAAAGACATCGAGGCGCTGGAGCATGTCCAGAGAAGGGCAGTGGAGCTGGAGAAGGGTCTGGAGCACAAGTCCTGTGAGGAGCAGTTGAGGGAGCTGGGGGTGTTTAACCTGGAGAAAAGGAGGCTCAGGGGTGACCTGATCACTTTCTCCATCTCTCTGAAAGGAGGTTGTAGCCAAGTGGGGTTGGGCTCTTCTCCCAGGCAACTCCAAGAGGAAATGGCCTCAAGTTATGGCAGGGGAGGACTGGGTTGGACATAAGGAGGAATTTCCTGATGGAAAGGGTGATTAGACATTTCAACAGACTGGTCCCTGCAGGTGCTTAAGGATAGACTGGTTGTGGCACTTAGTGGTATGGTCCAGTTGCCATGGAGGTGTTCGATCGTAGGTTGGACTTCATGATCTCAGAGGTCTTTTTCAACCTAATTGATTCTGTGAACAACTGCTTCGGCTGCCAGGAGCCCTCAGGGGCAGGATGCAGGGATGGGGGATAACACTCAGTACTGCAGTGCCCATGGACTTTGCTCCAGGGCTGAGCACCCACCTTCCAGATGGTGCTTGGCAAATGTGCAGCTCCTGCCTTGATTTTACCACAACTGATACGACTCTCCCAGCCTCCACTGAGGCAGCCTCGGGAGCTGGCAGGTGTTAGTTCAGGTAGTTTGCTACAGCAGCTTTTCAGTGTGCAACAATGAGCAGCAATTGTGATTTCCTACAGATCTTTCTCCTGTAAGTGGAGGAAAGCAAGTACTGCATTTCCTGAAGATCAGATCTGCAAATCCAGAGTGCAGCACTGCTCTCATTTCTCTATGAGCTGTCTGAAGAGATCTCTATGGCAAGGCAGCACAGCATAACACTCCAGCATTGGTTTAATGCTCTTAAAAGCCCTTGGTTTAATGCTCTTGAAAGTTTTCCACTGAAGCACTGCTTGTTTGTTTGTTTTGAAGCAGGTGGAATGGCATCCCACTCTTATAGATGTACCTGCTAAGACTAAGTTTGATTACAAGGTGACTAACCTAAATGGAGGACCTCAGCCTCACTCACCCCTTGAGGAGCAATACAGAAAGACCACATTCAAGGTGAGGCTCTCTTTCCCAGTGGGTTCATGTTCCCTCTGTAGACTTGTTTGTTTCCACAGTCCACTGGAGACCCTTCCTCTTCTTTGCTTTTAGGGTGGTGCCATTGCAGGACAGCTGACAACACTGGGCATGCAGCAGACATATGCCCTGGGGGAAAGGCTGAGGAGAAGATATGTGGAAGAAGCCAACTTTCTTTCACCAACATTTAAGCCTGCTGAGGTCTTGTGAGTCTCAGTTCCCTCCTTGGCCTTCTCTTGCTTCCTCTCTCCTAACAAGTAGCCCTGTGCTAGGGAAACTCTGACTAGCATACCCTTCTCCACCCCACAGCAGACTGGCTGGCCCCTGGGCCTTCATCTTTGCTCAGCCTGTTAAGCCTGGTACTAAAACTCTCTCATGACACAAAGCATCCAATTCCCCAGCAGTGCTGAGAGTGATGCCAGGGACAGGTTCATCTCATCCAGGTTTAGCCATTGGCAGTGGTCTTATGCACCTGTATGGTTAATAAAAGAGAAACAGGCATTTCTGGAGCACACTTGAACTCACTGTCAACAGCTGAAGTTCAGTGAGATGAAGCAACCCCTGGTTGCTCACATCACTAATGCTGGGAGTGTCTGGCTTAGGATGAGATTAAAGTTACACCAGAGAAGTGCCAGTTTGTTATCTCCACTATTTCTGAAGGGCAGTTCAGATGTAGGTGTCTACTTAAGATAGCTACAGTGACAACAGATGAATCCCACCACGGGTTTCCAAAGTCACAGTGGAAGCAGAACCCTCAGTTCCAGCCAGCCCTCCCCAGCTGCAGCCGTGCTGACAGGAAGGAGAAGATGCCACTTCACAAACTGCTTTCTCTCTTTCAGCATCCGTTCCACTAATATTTTCCGGAACCTGGAGTCCACACGGTGCGTGCTGGCTGGGCTGTACCAACAGCAGAAAGAAGGTTGGGGAGACTTCTGAACAGTGCCTTCCTTTCTTTGCTCAGTCTTCCCTAGATGCACGCATCTTGCGCACCCCAGCTCTCCCTGGCTCCTAGTTATTACTTTTTCCCTGGTTCCTTGCACTTGGCCCCCTTTCCCCTACTCTCCTGGCTCTTTGGGTTCTTCACCAGCTTGTCACTTCCTTGCTCTCTTTGTGTGTCTTTCTGCTGCAGTTTCAGACCTGCTGGGGAATCAAGAGGGCAAAAAGTTCTAGGTTCAATGTTCATGAGATGCACATCTGAAAACGGTTTCTCAGAGAAACCTGAGTATCTTGGCCAAGATCCTTTACAGGTTCAGTATCTGGAGTAACTTCCACCTGTATCTTACAGTTGGTAACTACTTGTATGCCCTAGAAATACTCTCTGCATTTTGAAGATCTCACCTCTGCTCCTTCCATATTCAGTTCCGCAAACAAGCCGAAGTGACTTGCCAGAGCTCCTTACACCTGATGACACAGAGACTAATTTTTGGCACTTAAAAACACTAAGAAAAAGGAGCACACAATTAGAAAGCTTTTCGAGGTTCACAGCAGGCATCCCTGTGGAATTCAATTCACAGAAACAAGCACAGTGGCTTGTGTTGCAGGTGATGCCTCAGGGGAAATCGCTAGTTGACAACAAAGCACTTGAGCACAAGGGCTGTGAAAGGGATTAAAGGGGTCCAAAGAAACGCAGATGCACTGCTGATCACAGGAACTTCCTCCTTGTTCCACAGGATCTGTCGTCATTGTCACTGATGAAGCCAGCTCTGAAATACTCTACCCCAACATGCACAACTGCCAGCGCCTGAAATGCTTGACCAGGTAATTGCCGGCAATACCTCCCCGTGTGATGTCACTTCTGTCTCATTTCAGCAGTAGTCATTTAAAACAGCACGTTTTCTTCCCACTTCCCAATTTCTTCCCCTGCCACTTACAGTTCTTTGGGAATGCTTAGGTAGTTGTATAAAACACTTGGTAAAGCGGAGTTACGCACCAAGCAGTGGCACCAGCAGAAAATAAAGTAGAGACTTTTTCTTGAAAGACCAATTTAATTTAGTCTGTGTCTAGCAAATGCTCATTACTAGCTAATGTACAGCTAGTCTGTGGCATTGCTGCAGGGCAGAATTAATGTCATCTACATTCCTTAACAAGCCTTTCAAGTGTGAACATATTGGGCCTCCTTTTTATATTCAGCTTCTGGTTTGGGAGTTATTTCAACATTCCGGTCACATTTATACCTTGAAGAAACTGAAATATACTCAGCTTTGATACATTTAACAAAGACTAATGAAGTAAAATAAGGAACATCCTACATAGAAAGAACACTCATGTTTGCAGAGTCAAGTACTCTAAAATGCCTGTGCCAGGTTGGGCATGGGGTGGAAACTGAACAAGAGAGGCAGATGTATTACAGCTTGCCTGGATTATCCATTACCATATTTTTGTCCAAAATTCAGGAGTTGTCAGAATTCACTTGCAAAAGCTCACTATATAATGCTTGACTCTGCAGACAAAGAATTGTTCTAGACAGTGGTGAGGTGGCAGCCCACAGAACCAGTACATTCAGCCTCCTCCAGTAACATCAGCTGTCCAAAAAGGGAGGAAACTGCAGGGTCTTCTGCTCTCTGCCCACTAACTGAGCACATTTGGTGACCATGTCTAGGCAGACTTTTTGAGCTGCAGTAAGAAGCACTGCCTCAGCTTACAGGCTGCCTAGGAAATACACAGCCAGCATGGGTATTCTCAGCTAAATTTTTTTAAATACAATTTAAAACAGCGTAAAGATGCAAATGGCTTCTAGCAAAGCAAAAGGTGAATTTAATCTGCAAGTGAATTACTAGGTGTTCCCTTTTTCCCACACCACACAGTGATCAGTTCAAAGCTTCTACCCCTTCTTCTTTCATGAGGCAGTTAAAGGCTGCTCCCTGAAGACACAGACATGTACAGTTCCAGTATGACCAGATCTCTTAACTGATACACAGCCCTTGCTTATGGGAACCACTTCTGAGGTGTTCACATTTTAATTTTTCCCCCTGCCTCTGTGAGAGCAGAGAGCCAGCTCTGATCTTTGACATCTGGATACATTATCTGTCCTTCCTGCAACTCAGACTCCCAACATCAGGAGTCTCTCAGTATACTGCAGTGCTTCTCTTCTACCCCTCACTGATGTGAGACAACTCCACAGGGCTAGCTCAGAAAAGCCTGACAGAAAAGATAGAAAGCCTGGTGTGTGAAAAGTTTTTTGTTTTAATTCCCTTGCAGGCAGAAGGGTAAGGATGCTCTGCATCAGCCAGGTATCTCTGATGACTTGAAAAAAATTAAGAAGATGATGGGTATTGATGGTGATGAGTCCGTGGATTTTTTTGTCCTCCTCGATAACATTTTTGCTGAGCAGGTGAGCCGAGCAGTTCTGTTGCACTGTCACGGGAAGAACATCCCCTTACCATGCACAGGGAGGAAATCACAGAGTGCCAACACCCATGGAGAGCAATGGGTACCTGCCCCAGTACCTTTCTATGCAATCCAGAAAGTTTATAGGAATAGCATGGCCTTTTTAAAAAGCAAGATGTGGAGTCAGCCTTGCTGTAGGATGGATGAAGACTTGTCTCCAGTATTTATGTTCTTACCTGGAAATCCAGTATTTCTTTCAACTGCAATATAGAGCTAAGAGAGCAGCTGGGCCTGCCTTGCCCCATTTACAAAGTGCTTTCCCTTTTTTGGCACTCAGCACCTGACAGTCCTCCTAATCCTGGTTCCAGCATAGTAACTGTGACCCACAGTGCTTCTGCTACTGGAAGGAAGCTGGGCATATTTTTACCCCCCTTTAGTACCTTTTTTGCTGGGGCTAATGGTAATTGATGTGGCTGCCAGTTGAATGGCCCAATGTGTTACACTCCCTTCACACAGCAGTGTATCAAACATCCATCCTTTCGGTACACAGAGCAAGGCTGTATGTTTAAAACCATCCTAAAAATCCTCAAGTGAATACCACAGTACAAATGGTGGGACATGAACAGCAGTTTTCTGTGGGCAGTCACCCACATGTCTTCAGGCTGGGTTCAGAAAAGGTCAAACCCTGTGGCTGTGCTGTGTCTTCTCCCTCCAGGTGCACAATCTGCCAAGCTCCCCGGTGCTGAAGAAGTTCCAGCAGACAGTTGAGCGCCGATCCGTTGACTCCATGCTCTTCCTTCTGGAAGAAAGTTCAAGGTGATTGCCTGCACCCATGCCTCCAGCCTCAGGGGTTGTCTCACCCAGGGGTGGATGTGCTACACCAGCTTCTGCAGCAGACAGAAGCCCTTTCCAATCTGCTGCATTCCCCCACCAGAGGCTACTGCCCGCCTCATGAAGTTTGTGCCCCAGCCATTTCGGTAAAGTCCAGTGCCTTCAGTCAGTAACATGAGCTCGGGAAAAGGAGTCCACACTGAGGAGGCCAAGATGTGGCCTTACACGCTGTTCTGTTGATAGTGTCTGAGGAGCAGTGCTAATCCACCAAGGTTTAAGGCCTCAGTTGCCACGGTGTTTAAGTGAACCTGTGTCAAAGGCAAAAGCAGAACAGAAGAGGAAATACTTCCAGCCCAGGCCCTGAGGCTGCGACAGCCCTTGCAGATGCACAAGTACAATGTGAATTCCAACTTGGGAAGTTTATCCCAGGGGTGGTACCTGCACAGCTGGGCTGAGAAGTGCTAGTGCTAGCGGAAAAGGTGATGCCAGGCCCTGCACACAGGTAACTACTTGCAAAAGAATGTGCTGCTACATGCAGTTAATTGCCTCCTGCACAGTTGTTTGTAAAGGTTGGCTGAGTTGCCAGCAGTCATCTTCCTTTCAGATTCATTTGCAGCTGCCACATTCACCAGCTCCAATCAGGTGATGGTATGGCACTGCCTTTTCTAGTAGGGTAGTTGCCCTTAATCTTTTCTTTAAAACGTATTAGAGATCTCAGGTACTGAAAGACTGATCCCCCCCATTCCCACAACACCCAGGAGAGCCAGTCCCACTCATCTTCCATTTCCACTGTCATACTCATTTCGGTAGAGGGAGTTTCTTCCCACCAGAAGTTGTATAAAAATCATCTCTTTGTTCAGTACAAGGATAAAAACTAATTTGTAAATTATTATTATAATCGATAGCCACCACCTTCTTGAATCCCACCCCTCCCCAGCAAAGACCTCAACCACTTCAGTTGCTGTTTTGCAGTCAGCTACTGTCATCTTCCCTAGCTGAAACCCATGCATCCAAAAATCACAACCAGGGAAACAAAACAGTGTAGAAAACAATCAATTAGTTTCTAGATTTCCCTTTGTGTGGGCCACACCTCATGATACTGCTTGCTAATGCCTCTCCCCTCCCAATCTGCAATCACATTAGAGTGGTGACTACACAACCTCTGAACTAAAAATTAACCATATTATTTGCCCTGAACAGTTTGTAGCTACACTCCATACATGTTATCAATTTATAATAGAAAAGAGGTTCACAGGTGTTCATATGTAATTGTTTGAAAGTTTAAAAACTAGTAGATTTGTTTCTGCTTCTTTTCCAGAGAAGTTATTAAGATGAGTGTTGGTCTCCTTCTCAGTGCCTTACAGAAGAACATTAAAGCAGCAATAAATCCCTCGACTCCATCTGAAAAAGCCAGGTACAGGGCAAAACTCCAACTGGTATAAATTCTGACTTGATGTCAGTGTGAACCTGGTTCAGAAAGACATTGAATGTGTGGGATAATGAGAATGAGTGCTCATCTGGTAGAAAAAGCACGAGTGCTACTGGCTCTCCGTGGAGGAACACAGCTGAGACATTCTGCGTTTGGTGTTGGGTTTTTTTCCAGAAAGCTCATCCTCTACGCTTCTCATGATTCTGCTCTTATACCTCTCCTGTTGGCACTGGGCACCTTTGACCGCAAGTGGCCACCTTATGCTGCAGACGTGACCCTGGAGCTGTACCAGCACCGTCGGTCCAAAGAGTGGTTCGTTCGCGTGTCTTACCGTGGAGAGGTAAGATCCCGTGGGAGGTCCCTCGTAAAAATCTTGGGCTTTTGGATTTACCATGCAGCAAAAAAAAAACAATCCACAAACTCCATGATTCTGTCTCTTTGCTTTTGCAGGAGAAAGTGGTGAAAGGATGTAAAGCAGGTCTCTGCCCACTTGAAGAATTTCTGAAAGCTCTTTCACAGTATTCGGTCACTCCACAGGAGTACAATAACCTGTGCTCCAAAACATAGGGGAATCAGCAAACTGACTGATGATTAAGCTTTTAAAATTAAAATTTTAATTTTAAATTAAAATAATTTTATTGCCACAATCTTTGACTATTTTTCTTTATATTCTTGCCAGCCCTCCCTATTCCAGAGGCATTTTAGATGAGGGGACTTTTTCCTACCAGACACAGGGTGGCACAGTGTCACTTCACACTGTTAGCAACAAGATGAAAGAAGCCACGTGACAGAATGGCTCAAGTTCACTTCTGAGGTAGCCACACAAAAGCACAGAGAGGCTAAAGCAGCAAGGGACACAACAGACCATTTCAAATTGTCCTGCTGCTTCAGGAATACGAGAGAAAACATACCTCTTCCATATGCTGGGACTGTGGGATGAAGCCCAGCGTGCTGTGTGCTACCAGACTTGAAAGCTTTGACATAACAATTGATTTTATGTTTGCCAAACTGCAGAAGCCATTGTGCCTTTCCCTTTTTTTTGTCATGTTGGAGGGTTGCTCTCTGCAGACAGATGAACCAAGCAAATCGCGTAGCACTGAGCTACCCCATCTTCTTGAGGGCATTTTTGTGCACAAAAAACATCTCCAATGGGACAGCAGGCCTCCAAACCTCCTCCCTGCACTCCTGTAATTATGGAAATTCTGCTGTGAACATGCAGAACAGCCACAGTGGGCCAAGTACAAGAACACACACTCTTGGTGAACTCTGCTTAATATGCTTTAAACAAGGAAGTCTGGGGAGCTGCTGTCGAGTTCAGCTTTGGGCAGCATTGCGTCTATTTTGCACTTGCTGAAAGAGGAATACAACAGAATAGCCAGCAGAAGTACTTCTAGCTGAGATGATGACACTTTCTCCTGTAAGGCAATCCTAGGGATCACTATGTTGCCAAAATCAGAAAATGGTTTGGGTTGGAAGGGATCTTAAAGATCACCTAGTTCCAACACCCCTGCCATGGGTGCCACCTGATCCACCCTGCCATCTGATCCACTAGATCAGATTGCTCAGAGCTCCATCCAGCATGGCCTTGAACACTTCCAGGGATGAGGCATCCACGGCTTCTCTGGGCAACCTGTTCCAGTCCCTCACCATCCCCACAGTAAAGAATTCTTCCTAATATCTAGCTTATATGTCTCCTCTTTTAGTTTAAAACCGTTCCCCCTTGTCCTATCACTATCTGTCCATGTAAAAAGTCACTCTCCCTCTTTTTTATAAGCCCCATTTAGGGGCTTTATCAATATCACTGACAAAGATCTCAGTTTTTCAATCAGTAAATAAAACTTGGATACTGACCTACTTTCTTTGGCATAGGTAAAGGCTAAAATAGGGGGACCACTGATTGAAATGGCCCTGCAATTTTGGTTCTGCGTTACCCCTTCCCACTTAGTGAAGGCAGACTGCAGTGATGTTAATGTAATCATTGACAGATATGTGACTGGAGGCACTACAGCACCTTTTCCCCGAGAAGCGTGGGCTGAATTTACCTCTACTCTTTCATTAGCCTGCCCCCACCACAATTACATGTTGACACCACGCACAGTGAACAGAATAATTTGAATACTTAAATACATTGCTGGAGGTCTCACTGAACTGCCATTAGAAGCTGTCAAAAAGGCAAACAAAACACTGTTATTTTCCATCAAGTTTTTTACACAGCCTAAAACCATAATGCCATTATATAAAAATCAATGGCCCTACCCTTGCTTAAGAACGGTGTGTTCTGCTCTAATCAGACTCTCTCTTATGCACAGTTTCAAGTGTTTGGACAACAGTGATGAAAATATTAGGCAATATGATGGCAAGTTATTTCTAAGGCACGGACTGCTTAGAAAAAGGCATCTAGAAGCTTTGGCCATACCAGTAAACAAAGGGGGAACTCACACACCTTCTGTTAAAATATAACTAGGAGCATCTCCCAGCAAAACTGACCAGCAACTGGGTTAAAAACTGCAACACAGCCAAGACCCACAGCACCCGGCATGGCCAGTTGTCCTAGTGCAGGTAAGATTGTTACAGGACACTGCATTCACACTGTTAAAATACTCCTATCGCTCTAGGCAGAGTAACATACATTTCAGTAAGAGCAGAAGACCTCAGGAAAGCAGGCCAGCGCCCTGGCAGTGGCTAGGAAGAAGGCACTGCTGGGAACAGGCTGCTTCATCACTGTCTCTTACAGAGTTTCTGCAGTGCCCTCTCTGCCCTGCTCCAGCCTTACCCTTCCCCTCAGTGTGGGAGTGGTTGGGCCATGCATTGGTCCATCCCACTGAGCAATTCCATGGTAGTTGTGGCCCACAGTATGTAAGAGGATTTATTTCTGACCACAACTAGTGTAAATAATCATTTCAGAACAGGATTGGTTGGACAGTGGAAGAGTTTTAATACCAAAGGGCACAGGTGAGTGGGAAGTGCTGAACTGCCAACACGGCATGGAAAAGCTGAGGCATTTCTGAGAATGTGGAATAAAAATTCCCAGAAATCAACTGTTTCCCAGTATCCCAGAAAAAAAAACACGCATCGCTTTTTTTCCTGCATCATTAACCATTTTTAGGTTAAGAATTACTACCCATTAACACAGTGAAGTACACTCTGCTAAATACAGGCCTGTATCAAACACGGATCATTTCTCCTCGAGGAGTTTCACAACAGGGAACAGGTTTCAGCCAGCAGCCTGCCGGGGCTGCACGGGGAAAGCATTCACCATCACGAGTGCAGAAGGGCACCGCCAACGAGAGGAAGCCTTTCCTGTGATCCGAGTGAAAACCAGCAGAGCAGACAGGCAGCGTATCGAGCTCCACAAAATTAAGCCCTGCATATACTGTATTTGTAATAGTCCCAACGGTCTGGCACAAAAAATGCTGCATTGCAACTTACCCCTCGGGAAGAGTCGGGCACCCACATCTACTCTGAGTCAGGACACGTGTATTGTACCAGAAGCACCACCAGCACTGGAATCCCAGCCAAGAGTGCTGCAGATTAGATCCCCACGAACTGGTCTGTCTTCCGAAATGCGACCCATTAGACACCACTAGGAGGTCAGGACTAAACTCTCACAGGGCTGGCTACCTGCTTGTCATCTTCTTTGGTAGATTAAGCTAGCCCATGACACAGAGACAAAGCCTAAGTTTATTTGGACAGTGCTTAAAACTGGCAGTGTACTTCACAGATGACCTGACTGCAAGTCTACTAATTTAAAACAAACAGATTTCAAATATTTTAAACTTTTGATTTAGCAGGCGCATTACTTCGCGTCTCAGAAGTTCACCATCTGCTGGGTTTACCTTTTAAGTCTCTCCACACTCCGGCTGCGCAGCCATCTGGGATGAGATAATTTGAACAGCAGACTGTTTCCTCCCATGTTACTAGAGAGGAAGAGCAGCCAAGCATGTATGAATAAAGTCTATTTCATTCTTTCAAACAAAGGTGGAGGAGGATGATTTGAAAGTTAAAAAAAAAAAAAAAAAGAGAGAGGAGGGGGAGGGGAAGAAAACTAAAAATGGCAACCCCACTTTCCATCTTCAACTGCACCATGACTACCAGAGCTGAGTCAAAGTTACCATTGATAAGCAGGAGAGAACAGAGCCTGACTTACAGATCCTAAGGTGAACCTGCAAGGCTGGCAGCTAGAAAGGTTTTTCATTTGCAAAGCAAAAAGGGAAGAAGTAGAATCAAAGCAAAACAATGAAGTTCAGTCTACATCTACAGACTGAGATTAGCATCTCTTGTCCATCTGCTGGTGCAAAGCAGGCAACATCACCGAGGTTATGTGCACCTAGTGGACTCAAGAGTATCCACACCTTCTGCATTTTCTGTAGGAAAAATCTCATTAAGATACCAAATGCCAGCATCGTAAGTCAGACAGATACAGAAGGAACTGTAATGACAAAGCATCCATAAAATATATCCCTTCACTATCAGTGGCTTTGAAACAGTGAATTCCCTATGCTAATTCTCCTAGAATAAGTCACAGCCACCTCAAATCCTTTGCTATTCAAAATACCTCAACAGGCATAGGAGGCACTGAGAAAGAGTGTTACAAAAACCAACCAACCAAACAAAACCCTCTGGGTTATTTCTACGTCGATCAAGAACTTTGCTTTGTTCAACATGGTTAAAAGCAGTCAGGAGTGGTGGCAGGAGTGGCAACACTTAAAAAGGTTGCATTGTGACGATTCCCGTGCAAGGTCCTCAAAAGGAGCTGTGCAACCACTTAAGGAAGAGGTAATTCCGCTCTACAGAAATAACACTTACTGTGTCATTGTCAGCTCCTTCTAAAATCTTGACAAGCCCGTGCTTCAGGCACGGCTGCCTGTCTTGTCAGAGGGAAGCACCACAACACACATCCTACACTTTGTCAAAAGAGTAATTCTCACCCAAAATCATAGTAAATTTGCATGACAGCACAAAGGTGAATTTGGAAGCAGGCAACAGAAGGCTCTGAGGCTTGCGTGCCGCCAACAGTGCACGGCTCCACTCATTTTATAACACCAGCAACAAAAGTTTGGTAAATCGGCCACCGAGAGGAATTCTTTTTTCACCTGTTAAGTGAACTCTAAAACCTGTTCAGTTAACTCTAAAAAATTCTTACACACGATCATGTTAAAAATACTCATTCCCCACGTGACGTTTCACGCTAATGGCCAGCCCTCTGAGGAAACTACTCATTGAAATAATTTCAAGTAATGGCAAGTGGAAGGAAGAACAGATTACACACTCCATATACAGCGCTGGGGGACCAGAGAACAGACAGCCACAGAGCCCACGCCCTGCCCTGCAGATCCACATCTGGCTCATCCTGGTCTTCTCCAGGAGCAAATCTCAATTCCCAGTCCAGGTTTTGTCATCCAGCCTTTCACCCCTCATAGGCAAGACCATAAAACCTTCTTTCTGAAATCATCTCAAAAGGCAAGTTTGAAAAGACAGGGGATTAGGAAGCAATCGATGAGAACTGCAGCAAAGCAACAATTTACTCAGCAGGGTTGTCTCGATAAAAATCTGCTCACTGACAATTTCTATCTCACCTCTGTTATTTAAGTTCATCCTTTCCCCACTGTCTCAGGCTCTCAGTGCTGGCAGTCAGAGACCTGACCCAATCCAAAGCCCCCAGAGAGACACACAGTCCCAGTGCCCTCCATAGCACTGGACTCGAGAGCTCAGCAGACAGACACTGCTGTGCTTAGGGAGAGCTCAAAACCACATACCTTGTAGTGCTGCAAACACTCCCTGTGAGGAAGTGACGGAGACAACAAGTTTCATCTATTCCTTGACCCTCAACAAATTGAGGAAGTCTGTAACTACTGTCCCTGGGGTGTTCTGAAATAAGACCTCTCTCTCCAAGAGGAAACAAGCTCAGGATTAAGTGAACAGAACAGCCCTGCAAGCAGCACGCAGCTGCCTACAGACCGGACTTTTAGGAGCTGCCAAAGCTTAACCCACCTGGCCTCTAGTCTCACTGTGATCATAAGGAAGAGCGAACAGTCATCTGGCCAGCTGTTTGATGTACACAGAGAGAACTGGGCTGGATAAAGAAGACAGTTCATTTTTGTAAGAAACAATATATTTTATTTTTCTGACACCACAGCCCTGGCGAGTGGTTTTGTACCAAATTTAATGGAGGTTACACAGAACGTTTTACGCTGGGGAGGAAAAAAAAATAACCACAAAAAAAAATCCTGGGTAACTTTTAGTGTCTGTTCCACTCCCACATTAATAAAATCACTTGGGGTTTCTAAGAAAAGGAGAATAGGAAACAGTGAGAGAGACTACTGTAGGATGTAACAGTGTCCAAGTCCAGCCCCTTCCTAGAAGTGGGAAGAGTCCCCACGTGAGGAGAGGCTCTCCTAGATTTACTCCCCAAAATAACACAATGTATTGCAGCTGCCATAGGAGGAGACAGAAGGGGACGGAGAGAGAGAAGCCTATTTAATAAAGAGTGGGAGGGAGAGACAGAAGGTGCTGGACAGCACGCCATAATTTGAAAAATATGTCCTTAACTTATTATTTATTTCTTTTAAAAGATTCCCCTCACTGAACTTAAGTTCCTTTTTGTGCTTTTCATTAATACTCTGCTCTGAGGTCGTAGTTTGGTTTTTCTATACATTGGGTGTTGAAGGAAAATAGTCCGAAGTTCTGAAGATGGATTCTCCACCTAAAGTAAACAGCCTAGAATCCCATTCTCCTCTCACCCCAAAGACTAAAAGTCTCTGCTAAAATCCCTTTTACAATATAGTACAGTACACAAAAAACCCCAAAAATAACCGAGAGTCCTGGGAGAAGCCAGTCCGAAGGACGTAAACATACAGAGAATGGTGCAACTTGTGACAAATGGCAATTCTCAAAATACAGCTACAGATTCTCAAAGCAGGTGCCGTCACGGGATACCCAAGTCCACAAAAATAATTTTTAAAAAATAAATCTTAAAAAAAAAACAACCTGTTTAAATGAATAATTTTTTTTTTTTTTTCAGGTAATTCCATACATTCGAGATTTCCCAAAGCGTCCTCTGGTCTCTTTTCACCTATTGCATGGCCAAACTGTACTCCTGAAGCTCCCAAAAAAGCCCTCAGGACTTGGAATCTCATCTTGACAAGGATCAGAACATCCAGTCTTATGGTAGCAGCTTAAAACATCATGTTCCCTGGGTTTCCAGGGCCTTGGCTAAATCCTCCCATGCCAACGTCAGCAGCCATACCTCGGGGCCTCATCTGGGGGGGAATCATGATGTTTTGTTGGGGTCCCATCATGCCCTGCATTGACATCATCATCCCGGGCGACCCCACGGGGCCCGGGTGGCTGTACAGCCCCGCGGGGGCTCGGTCCTTGCCCGGGATCATGCCCACGGCGGCCACGGGGTTGCTCATGAGGGCGGGCTGGCCGGGCATGGCCGGCTGTGCTGGTGACATCATGCGGTGGTGCGGCCCCATCATGCCCTGCTGCAGGAAGGCCGGCGGCCTCATCGGGTTGTGGCCCGGCATGGACGGAGCCGTCCCGAGGGGGATATCCGGAGTTCCCACCGGCCCGGGGCCCCCCATGCCAGGCAACGTTAGTCCCATCCTCGGGGTCTGCTCTCCTATCATCCCCTGCATGTGGGAGAAGCCAGGCCCGGGACCCTGCGGCTGCTTGCGGCCTGGCACCTCCCCACGAGGGAAATACTGTAGTGTCTGGCTGGGCTTCTCCGACGGGATAATCCTGGACAGGTCAAACTCGGGTATTCCCGTGGCTCCAGGGCGGATCACCTCCTGCAGCTCTGGATCAGTGAAAACCGAAGGCATATTGTTTCCAAGAACAGTGAAGGAGTCTGGACCGCCAGGGCCTCCAGTCTTGCAAAGTGCTGGATCTGTCGAACTTTGGGGCAGGTTGGTAGGACGCCCCAGAGGTCCTTCTCCGTGGAAGCCCATTCCCGCTGGGAAGTTGCCTTGTCCACCGCTGGGCCCGTTGTGTGGAAATGGCACCTGCTGTGGAGGGGACTGTACGGGGGGGAACCCCTGTGGGAAGCCCAGGCGTCCTTGAGGTACCATTGGAGACTCCTGGGAACCGTGCCCCATCATTGGGTTGTGTGACATCAGGCCGGGTCCCACGGGGACCCCATGAGGAGGTATATTGGGTCCCATAGCATTTGGAGAGGGCATCTGGTTGTTATGGGAAAGAGGCTGGGTCATTCCCATTGGGCTAAGGGTTGGCATTGGACCCACTGGGTTTGGACCTGAAATTCGAGGATTCTGAGAATTAATGCCCATTCCTAGGGAAGAAATAAGGAATCACATTTAGACAGCAGCCAGTAATAATCAATAAAGCTATCAGAGAGCTTTCTGCAAGGTTATCAAGTCCGCACACACACACCAAAAAAAAAAAATCAGCCCTAGTAATAAAACATCAGCCGTGGCTCTGAAAAGCGTTATTTTAACCAGAAATTCAATGGCACCTGAATAGCTGCTTCCCTAAGCTTCTCACTGCCCTATGAAACAGTGACTAAAGCCTGCTCCATAAGGAGGATCTCAATCCAACCCACACCTTTACTACCTCCCTGGCAGTCCACATGATGCAGGCAGTAACAAACGTGTGTCTGTGACAGATTATCAGCACATGGGCACTTGTCTACTGGGAAGTGACAGAATCTCCTCTCAAAACTCAAGCAGTGATAAATCAGGTAACCCTTGTAAGACTAGGAGACAGCGATCAATGAGGTTAATGAGTTATCATCATGAACTTATTCAATTAGCCAGCTTCCCCAGATACATTCAGCCACCCCAATCATTACTGCGTGAAACACAAGGCAAAGCTACAGGTAAACTCAGCAAGAACTCATTAACAATTGCCACTCCCATGAAACACCCACCCATTCCTCCTTTCAGCTGTTAATTCAATTGGGTGGAGAGACTACAGCCTATTTTTGTATTAAACAGGTACCCATGAGAATTAAGCTATCAGCAGGGTCTAGATTTCTCATGTAAACATGCTCGCCCACACGACAGCCCAAAAGGAGAATGTTTTATTTTACTTTTCCTTTAACTCTTTCAGGTAGGGACCTGGACAGTTTCCCTCAGTCCTGGCTGAGGTCACCTGCCATTACATATTCCCTGTATGGGAAGATTTATGTTTTCAGAAAGTGCTCCAACACTCTCTTTCATTAAAAAGGCAATCCACAAAGCTCCGGATTAGACCTGATGATTCAGTGTCAAAAAAAAAAACCAAACCAACTCCAAAAAACCAGTGAAGCTTCTATGACACTGCCTTAAGACAGGGGTGGTATGGTTTCCTCTGGGTAAGAGTCTGACCCTTATTCCCATGAGCAGCCTTCACTCACACAATTAATTCCAGTCTGCCTGAGTGGAAATCTCCTCCATACATAAAGGTTTTCCAGATCAGACAGTTTCTGGACAGAAAAAAAAAACAGCTCCAAGGAGAATTTCCAGCTCTGCATTTCAGAGAATTGCAACTGCCTTCCTCAAAAACAACACATGGCTATATATTCCTCGAGTTTTTTCCCCTCTCACCATCTTCATTTGATGAAGCTTCCATAAAGATCACCCTCACTGTACTGCCTGATACTTTGTGCTTAATGTTTCTTTGATTTTCTTACCTTGTACACTGTTCATAGGTGGCAAGTTTGGGGAGCGGGCTGGAGGGGAGTCATCATCCGAGCTGGCCACAGTTTTGATGGCATCGTGATAGAGCGGTGTAGAGCTCGGCATGGCAAATTTGGACATCCTGGACATCATAATGGAGAGGGGATTCTGGGAGAGGGTTGGCTCTGGAGGCATTGTGTAAGGACTGCTAGAGGGAAGATTTCCAGGGAGAGTCACAGGAGCAGACTGGCTGACTGTGGAAGGAGGTGGACCACCTTAGGAAAAAAGGAAAAGACAGAAAGAAAGTTTAATTTTTCATCCTTTTTCCTTAACTCCAACTCTCTTCCTCTAGAAATCTCAAACACTAGAAATCTTTTTTAATGCAAAACTTTACATGACTAATGTAATCAATGCCTGTGAAAGGTAACCAGAACAGACCAACTACTGGTCAAGCTGGTTAATATCTGTTATCCTACTGGAAAACACTTCTAATGGAACTATCTTGAGCCTCTGCAAATCTACACGAAGAATTACCAGTTTAGTCTGAAAATCTTACTATTCAATTTCCATACACCGAAGACAGACTTAGGTACAGGGGTTAGCCATAGAAATCAAAATCTGTAATCATTTAGTTGTTCCTGCATCCACCAAATGTCAACTGTAATTCCTTTCCCCTTTTCTTTAGGAGGCATCAAGCAAGCACAAAAGACACAGGCAGCACAAGGAAAACTGTGGCAGATATTTCTGACACACTGCATGAGGAACTACAACTCTCTGTTTTATGTTTCATTACATATTTCATGCATAGATATTAGCTGCTTATTCCAGTTAAAGAAGCATTCTCTGTACTTATTATCTTAACATCATCCTTCGCTCTCCCAAAACCAGAAGTAACTGCACTGGCCATCTCCTTTGTTCTTCCACTGATAAATTCCATGGAAACCGCTGTGAAGGAAAGATGCTAAACCGAAGTTGTACTCTCACTGAAAATTCACTGCACGTTCCTCAGCCACTCCCAACCAAAAAAAGGAAAGTAGAATAGATAACACTAAAATTCTGCAATGCCAAAACACTCATGCTTTGGAAGAGCTGTGTGTAAAAGCACTCATCAAGCAACACTTCACACAGATTGCACAGATTATTTTGGGCTGGAAGGGACCCACAAGGCACAGACGAAAGCACTAGGTTCTGACTTGTAGGCACCTGGGCTCACGCCGGGCCTGGCCTCAGCAGACACTAACACCCAGTCTGCTTTCCCGAGCACAGACCCAGCCCGCAATCCCAGGGTTACCCTTGCCAGCAGCCCCGCAGGCATATCCCAATCCCCACCTCGGTCCCGGCCGCCGCCGCGCCGTTACCCGCGGCAGCACTAGAGGGCAACGTGGGCAAAGGGCTCCTCTCTCTCTCCCAGCCGGAAGAATTTCCCGGGCGGGAAGGACAGCCCAGAGGGGTGAATGTGCTGCAGGGTGAGCTCCGGGAAGGTGAGGACAGAGGCATGCCAGCACCTGGAGCCTGAGGTCCCAAGCACGGCACGGCTCGGCACACAACTGAATGCTACAGTGATTAGATCACTCCAAAACCTTTGAAGCCTGAAAAACTGAAGCACAACTTCCCGTCTGCAGTGTAAACCTGAAAAGCACCAACCACACCTGAACCATGCCTAGACACAGGGCTGGCTAAGTGTGCTCAGCATGTCTTTGTAGGAGCTTTTTATCTCAAAGAGTTTTCATAACATAAGCAGGATCTTCTCCACAAAGCTACGATCACCATGAGCTACAACAGCCAGACCCCTACAAGGAGAGGTTTCTCCCATCAACTCTCTACATCTTTTCACACCTCCTGACCCCATGCTTTTGCTTTTATGTCCTCTGAGTGATCAGCCCTCAGTTGGACACTTGGGAGGCACAGTACTCACCCACAAATACAAGAGGAGGAAAAGCCCTTGCCCTTCACTCACACAGCCCCCTTCAAAGAGGCAAACGGCCATCCAGCCCCTGCCCTGCTGAGAGAACCCTTCTCCCTCCCTTGCTGCACACGTTGAGTGACCCAAAGCGCCGGATCCAGCTGCCGGAGGCGGCACTCACCCGACTCCACGTTCCCCAGCATGGCTGGAGAAGACATGGTCAGAGACGCCTTGTGGTTCGGGGGAATCCCGGGGCTCTGCAAAGGAGGCTTTGGAGATGAAGTCCATCCAGGAGAAGGTGCGGGGAGAGACGGAGACTTGAGGTGGACAGGAGAAGCAGCAGCAGACCCCAAGACAGGGGGGGACTTAATGGAGGCAGCAGCGGCTGCGGCAGTGGGGCCCGCGAGCATTCCTGCCAGCTGGGAGGGCGTCTGGGGGGACTTGAGGTTCCCCGAGGGAGACCCCATCATGGGAGACTGGACCTGGCGCATCGTGGGGGACTTCAGGGGGTTGATTCCTGGCGAATGCACCTGACCAGCTGCGGAGATATCCAAGGGCTTGCGGCCGAGGCTGCGCTGCGCGGGGGGAGCAGTGTTGAGGCTATTGGGGTTACTGGTGGGATTGAGAGGTAGTGGCGGCATGTGGCTGAGCCGGTTGTTAGTCCTTTGGTCAGGCCCGATCTGTTCTCTGAGATTCCGGAGACCGACTCCTGGGCCCTGAGACATGGGGAGGAAAGGCCTGGGACCCATGCCATACTCCTGCTGCGGGTGCTCCCCGAACGGCAGCGGCACCATTTTCTGCTGAGAAGAGAGCATCTCCGAGACGCCAGGGCGCAGCTTCATCATCTCTTCCGGCCCGACTCCTGCCTCCCTCAGCTTCTGAGGGACCAGGGGTGGATTGGAGCCCATGCTGACATTCATGCCCATGTCCCCCTTCATGCTGCCAGGGCCCATCCCAAACTCCAGCTCCCTGCTAGAAGCCATTTGTGGGGGTATTCCTTTTGGGAAGTCCCCCCTGGAAGGGCTCATCGGTCCTTCTACCGGCATGCGAGGGAAGATGGGGTTGTTCCCAGGCTCCATGTGTCTCTGGGAGGGCATCATTCTGTTTATCTCCATGCCGGGCCTGATGCCTTCCATGTTCAGACCAGGAGGAAGGCCCATCTGTTTCTCAGCCAGCTGCTGCTGGTAGAGCTCTTCGGGCAGGCCCTGTGGATTGGGAAACCGCTCCCCTCGGCCAGGGCCACTGAAGACACCCTGGCCAGGAGGGAAGTTTCGGCCGTCTGGGATTTTTGGCACATCATCTGGCCAACTAACTCCTGAAAGCCCAGGCCGTGAGGCGGGATTCGGGACACTGGGGCCCTCCATCTCAGGGTTCATCATTCCTGCAAAACCAGGCAGGCGCATCTGGCTCCCGGGCACGTTGGGATGAGGGGCCATGCCCCTGGGGGGCAGAGAGTGTGACATGTTCATGCCTTCAGGGAAGGGCTCTGGGCCCCCAGGTCCCCAGCCCTCACCAGGGGTCATCTGGTAGGGAGGAGGAGGACCTCGGACCACCCCACGAGGCCCGTGCTGGTGGACCATCATGTCCTGCAGGGAACACTGCTGCACAACCACCTGCTCTTGCTTTCTCCTCTTCTCCTCGTAGAACTCCTGCTGCAGCTTGAGCCAGGCCACCTGCTCAGGAGTCATATGGTCCAGGTGGTCTGGGCCTATGGGTCCTGACTGGGAGTTCATTGGTGGTGGCCCCATTTCATCTGGGGAAAAAGGCATGTCCCTGTGTCCTTGAGGGCCAAATGGAGCCCCTCCATCTGTCCGAGACCCTGACCCTTTGCCTAAACTTTGGGATTGAGCCATCATAGCCTGTATTGGCCCTTCAGGTTTCTTTTGGGGACCATCCAGCACCCCAGCATTTGGGGGAGGCCCCCCACTTTGCCCTCCAGCAAACTCCTTCTCATCAGGGAAGAGCATGCGCTGTATGTCTCGCAGGGTCTGCAGTGAGCGCTCTCGGTGCTCCAGCTGCTCCTGTGACAGTCCATCTGGATTCTCGCCCAAACTGGATGGGTCCCCACCAGACACCTGCTGGGGAGGACCTTTGGGGTCTGCAGCTGAGCTATTGCTACCTTGGGAAACCGGGCTAACCGCTCGGTTATTGGGGGTCGAACTCTGCCCAAATCCTTCCGTCTGCAGTGGGGTAGAGTTGGCAGGGCTGCCCACGGACATCACTTTGCTTTCCACGCTGGGACTGTCCTGATCTATGGGACATGGGGGGCCAGTGGATTTGGACACCGGCGCTGACACGGGTGGGGTTGGCTGCATTTTGGCGTTCTGGGGAGGGTTCTGGTCCTGGGCAGCGGGGGGCTGGGGCTGCGGCAGGGGCTTGGGTTCAGTCCGAAGTGCAGTGATCTGGGGGTTCTGCAAGAGAAAGCCACACGTTGTCACCTGTTCTTCCTACAGCCCTGGCACACAAGCAGCAGTGCAAACAAAATGCCCAGTCTCAACCCCACCAGCCCAAACTTTGCAGGGAAGGGTAGCCTTCATGCAGCCGTTACAGAACAGCACCTCTTTCGCTCAAGACATTACTGCAGGAACCCCTTTCTTCTGTGCTAGTTCTGCATGAGCAATGGGCTGGAAACACACTACCCAAATATTGCAAGACTCAAACTCTTCTTTGGATGATCCGAGACATTTGTGTGCAGAAGGTTTGAACAAAAACTGTCTTCCTGAAACTTATTTCAGAGCGTAAATAACCGTCCATCACTCTGAATCACACACGAGCACATTGACCGTTTCCCCTTCCCACCCACACGCAGGTATTCCCTACCAAGGGTACAGTGTTTCGTTCCGCCTTGCTGTTTGAGATGTTCTGGATATGAAAGGACACAATGGTTTCCACCTGTCCCTTCAGCACAGCTTCTGCAGCCCTGCAAAGACAGACAGGCAGATGCACATATCCAGTTGAAGCTAAGAATCAATTTTTCTCAACTGGCCTCCCTCCTATCTTTCAGCTGGCACAAGGCAGGAAGACTCAACCACACATATTTCACTCTAGATGAGCAGCAGCAGAAAAATGCTTACATCTACAAACTCATCAGCATTCAGGGTTCACGTCTCAGTTTAGCCCATCCTGCACAGATTGCAAAACAACATCTACCACCATTGGCAAGAAACACATAAAAATCTCCATTCCTTAAAGGAATAAGCAATCATTTCTCAGAGGGAAAAAAAGTAGGGACATTCTCCTCTACAGCCCCTCCAATAACCCCAAAAAAAGTAATGAGTTTTTGCTACTTGATGCAGAAAGTGCCCTTGACAGTCTCTTAAAAAGCGAGCACAAACCGAACTCCTGCTCCCTGAAGACATTCAAGCATCTACCTACTTACTTGTTGGCCATCTCAGTAGAAAAGACGTAAACCACTTTGGATGGAGTCTTCTGCCCACTTGCTGGCTCCAAAGTGGCAGTCAGACCATGGGAAGGTGTGGAAGACCTTGGGGCTGAAGCATTTGAAGGAGTCATGGAGTGTGGTGTGTGCTGAGACTCCTGGGACTTCACATGATCAGCAGAATTGCAGTCTGGAAGGGGAGAAAGAGGAAAAGAAAGGAATTACTACCTTGGGAGCACTTTGGAAACCATTTCTGGAAACTGATCAGAGCTTTTTCTCCTCAGAATTTTCCTGCTTCTTCCTCAAGCAACACTAAAGGCAATTCTCCTATTACACCATGCATCTTTCCTCCAATGCCACGCTGCCCTTCAGGCACCACTGGGAGAAAGCTCATCTTGTCCCTTTTCAAGGCCTGTGGCAGTTCCCAGAGCTGATCCCTTTGAATTCTCTCATGGCCACACAGAAAAGCAGGAAAATTACACACTAAAATGAACAAATATAAATACGTCTGCTTCCAAGGAGAACGCTTGTAAAATTTCACTTCTTTTTTCCCCCCTTCAGCCACCTTAGCCAGGTGACCCAGCAGATGGACAACAAAGGAAAGATAGACCACTGCACATCTAGTGTGGTTTTGCACTGCCTCACAGAGGCAACGCTGGAGCCAGGAACAGAACACAGAAATATCAACTCTCTGGCTTGTGTTACCAGGGTACTACAGGTTACGTATCTGTGTTGACAAAACAGACTTGCATATTGTTCAAAACCTGTTACAACAGAGCAGTTCCTGAAAGGCCAAAGGCCAGAAGGAAACCAACAGGTTGCATTTGTACTTTCAAATCCTCTGGGGGAGTTTCAGAGTTACAAAGGAACTTTCCCACCAGAGTCAGGCCTGCTCTCTAACTGAGCGGGAACAAGACATTTGCCAATGCCAGCTATGACAACCTTTCCTCTTCCCCTGCTCTCCAGACCTTTAGACTTTGTTGGAGGGAACTTACAGAATCCCAGACAAATAACATTTGCATAGCAATTCTCCATCTCACAGAGAATTCAGACTAATTGTCTGCACATGAATCCTAGCAAGCATACCTTTGATTTCAGGGTCATCATTAGGAGTCCCAGCTTCCCTCTGTTCAAAGGAGTCTGCTGAAATGCTCCTCTCTCTCTTCCCCTTCCCCTTGGCACCATTTCCAGCCCCATTCTTCAGCCCCATGCTCCCACCTGGGCCAGGGAGCACTTTGGGGGTGTGACCTCCACTTTTGGGGTCACAGGGAGAGGGCTGGGATTGGCTGGTGGAGCCCCCTTGTTTGCCTTGGTTGGAAAATTTGGAATCCAGCTGAGGGTTGCCAGACGGGGACATCACTGTAGGGGGGCGGACCATCACCTCCTGCTTTGATTTGGGGCTACAGGGGACAGAGGAGAAAAAAAAGAAAAGTGACAAAAAAAGTGACAAATCACACCATTGATTCATTCAGCCCTGTAGGAACAGATTAGAGTGAAGCAGAAACAACCACTGTCACCTTGCAAGCTAAGACAATTGCTGACACATAAAAAATGCCTGCAAGCTTAGAGTCATGCAGGTGCTTTTCTGAACATGCCCTGAAAGGGTTATTATCCAAGATGGCATCTCATTGCTCAAGAAGGCACCAAGGCAAACCACAGACCTGCCAGATCCCAGAAACTGCTGTCACATGAGGACCCACCTCTGGAGCTTCTGTCAATAAAGACAACGGTTTCTATGTGCACAGAGGAGCGCCTCACACCAAGACCAGCTCAGAGTAAACAAACAAGGCACAATAAAGTTCACCTCACCACTCTCCTGGACCCCAACTACATGCTACAGCTCCGACCAGAGAAGACCCCCACCCCCCTCCCTTGCACCTCCCTATCCAGTTCTACAGGGAGCACAAGGAAAACCCAGCATTGCTGCAGCATTCGTCATACACCGGGGCGAGCTGCCAGGAAAACACAAACCTCTGACCGTGAAAACAATTAAACCAGCTACAACCTGCCTCTGAATAAGGAAAGAGAAGGAAGGATACCATCTCCAAGCACACTCCTGCAAAATGGGGCAGATGGAGCTTCCTTAATTTGCCAAAGCAGATTCAGAGTCTTTCCTTTCTTCTTCCATCCAGCAAATTGCATCCTAAAAATATTTTGCTCCTCTGGGTTTTACAGACATATTAGCCACCCCTTTCTCCTCACCCTCCACTTACTCCACTGCAATTGGATCTTCTGCATTGTGTTTTCCCATCATCACTATCACTTCCAACAGGCAGTGCTTGCTAGCATCCTCACTGTGGGACTCACACAAGCTGCTTCCTCCTTAGGAAAGACATCTGACTCAGAAGCATTCCCTCTGAAATACTCCTAAGTTCCGGATGACCTCTAGGAGTAAATAATCAAACCCAAGAATGCTGTCAATCAGACCATTCTAAGTCCCTGGGCGCCGTTTTGCTTCCATATTCTTCCCCTTCCAGATTAGTGGAGGAGAGATGCTGACCTGCTGCACTGGCAGGTGACTGACGCAGAGGATCCCAGTGCTCAGCAGATCAGTTCTCCAGGCTGCTCAGGCCAATAATACAGAGGAAGCATTTTGTGTGAAAATACAGGCAGAGAGACCTTCTGCTGCCCAACTACCCCTTGGGAAACAGATAATTAGAAGAGGAGGAAGGGGGGGTGGGGGGGGGGCGAAAATCCAAGATAGAAAAAGCATGTTTACTCTCCAACAGCCTGTTCAGGAACCTGATGGGAAGGGAGGAGGGGCACATGGAATAGAAAATCCACAGCTTTCAGCTCATCGTGAGCCTTGCAAACATGGAGACCCGTCAGCACTGTGCAGCCACTGCTCAGGCACTCAGTAGGTCTGATGGGAGCATGAAGGAGGGCCGGTGGAGCCAATCCAGCAGCACAGCAGGGATGGCAACACCCACCAACCCAGGGCAGCTGAGTGCAGGCTCTTCCCCTTACCTCTGTGTGTTGCCTGACGGGGAGTTCCTCACTTTGGGGTTACTGGAATGCATTGACAGAAATCCTGAGCTCACAGTCTCACACACACGCAGATGGGCTCTCGTCAAGTTCCCCTGGGGATCGTGCCGCCAGAGGCAGCGTCGAAGCGCTTCCTGCCACCCGCTCCTCTCAGTGCTGGCTGTCTGCTTGCCTTTTTTCTCTTGGCTCCTCGCTGGTTTTGCACTGGGCACTTCCCTCCTGCAGCTCCAGCATTCTCTAGACGCGTGCCTCCTGCCGCCCAGGGGAAGTCTCGCATCTCCAGGGCACCCTGCAAACCACCCCACGAGAAGAGAACAGAAAACCAGTGAGGAACTTCCCGAGCAGACGTGGCTGGTGTGAGGCAGTACATGGCAATTCTTCCCCCATTCCCGAGAAGACACGGGAGAAGAGCTTTCAGGTGGATGGGTATTTCCAGACCAGAGGCAGCCCTGGCTGGCCATTCAGTTTACAGGCACTGAGGCCATCTTCCCTTTGTCCAAAGCACATCATTCTGGAGTCAATAAAACAGGGAAGCACCTTGTATCTGAACACTTTGATTCCACATCTGTGCTCAGCTTAAAGGCACTTCATAGCAAGTCAGTAGAAAGTCAAAACTGCAAATCCCCAACATGAGTTAGCTATCCAGAATTCCCCTTTGAATGGCTGTAACATGGTATTTCTTAAGAACATAAACTCTCCTTAAATCTTTTGTCTCCTTGGTCCAATATACCAAGACATATGCTCAATGATGTGTGCTAAGGGTTACACAAAGGGAGAAAAATAAAATAAAACACCGTCCTGGCCACCTGTAAGCTACCAGCTATGTGTGATTAGTCTGAAAACACCAGGGGTTAGTCACTCATCATATCTACTTAGAAAGGCCAAAAAGCACTAGAGAAGTACCCATCTAAATTTGCTCAGCAACACTCTACAGACCATTGAGGCTTTAAAACAAACAAACAAACAAACAAAAAAAACACCACCCTCCCAAAAAAAGAAGACACTTTTTCAGCTTCTTTTTTAGAGATAATATGCATGACACGGGCAACAAGGCACCTAAAACTGTTTCTGGAGGAGGAAACTATTGAACATCACTGTTGACATGCTTTGGGCTAAATTATTTTGGAACAAATTTCTGTCTTGTTTATGTTTCAACAAAATCTCTCCTGTTCATCTCACCTACTCAGATGCAAATCCACTTAATTTAGAATCTAACCAAGATTTATTGTTAATGTATTAAGCATTGCTAGTTAAATATTACTCAAATGTAAATATTCCCGATATTCCTTCTCAGCACCAAAGAAGTAGTTTCTTCCTGTGTATATCAAATGAAACAAAATAAATCTTACCAGAACGGGAATGTCTTGAATTTTATGAAGAAATTACTGTTCAAAACTGCATTTCAGAAACAAAAATTGCCTTGTATATGTGATGACACCAGAAGATTAAGAAACACCTGACCACCTCTGGCCAAGGAGATTTATCAGCAACTCGTAGTAGTGAGCACCATGGTTTTCCAGTTCCCCAAATTTATAAAGTTCTGAGGCTGTACCATTACACATTTTAGTGACTTTGCACTGCTGTACTTTAACATGATAGTGATCCAAACTGCAGCAGTTCCACAAAGCTCTGCATCATCTCCAAAAATTCTCCTCTTCACCACATGCCTCCCTCATGAGCCAGAGAAGTCACCCTGCTCCCCATTCTCACCTCCACTGTGCTGCACAAACCTATTAATACAGGGAATGTTTCTGCAATAAATATCTCATTTTAAACACCTCCTACTAGGCATAATCAGATGAACTCCAGTCTGAGCCACACAATCCAAAGGACCCACATCCTTCTCCAGGACTATTAGCAGGTTATCCCACTGATTTTGAGAGCAATGTTGGCTTTATCCTATCACTATTGTTATTACTATCATGCTACAATTGGAGCTGGTGCTATATAGACACACTAAAGATGAGAGAAAACCTCTTCACACATATCTAAACTGTATCATCTTTGCATGCAAATTTGGCTCCTACGTCTGTTTTGACAACAAAAGTGAAACATCAACAGCATCCAACCCCGCTTTTCAAGAGATTGATACGTCTGTAAAAGTCAGTGCAACTCGGTGATACTGCAGGGTCCTCACTTGAGGTGAAGGTGTGACTGAAAATACAGTGAATTCCAGGATAAAAACAAAAAGAGAAAAAAAAAAAAAGAAAAAAGGCATAACAGCATTAAAGGGAGCAGAGCTTGATGTTTACAGGAGGACATAGATGCCTGCATGATGAACTTAAGTATTCCAGTTGTTTCATCCTCTGCTTTTCCATTTGGATATTTATGCATTATGTTACCTTTTATTACAAGATGAGAATTGCCTCAGACTCCCAGTCTTGCACAGTGCAATGAGAAAACACGAACTGAAGAATCAGGATCACACTGGCTACACGGTATTTCTGACATCAACAAACTTTCAAGTACTTCACCCGGGGGCGGGGGGGGAAACCTTCCATTTTTTTAACCCTACTTTTTTATTCTATATACACATATCTTCCATCTAGTAGAACTGATGCGCTCTGCAAGGGAACTGTATTTTCCAATCTCAGTTTAAATTTCTTCTTACCAGAGAGAGCTATAAAGGACACATCAATATATTCATTGGTGGAACAACAGCAACTCAACTTCCCCGGCTTCTTATTTCTGCACACTGGGAACGTACCATCTTTTATAATGTGAAGTGGAATGCCTCATGATTTTTCTCAATGCACTTCTAACATATGTATGTCTGGGAATCCAGGGTTCAATAATGGAAAAGCTCTAGATAAATGTATTTTTGCAGCTGGAGTCTGCCTGCCATAGCAAAGCCTTTATCATTGCTCTAAAATTAAGGTCCACTGACAGTGAATGGTCAAACCACTTTTCAAGATGTTTTGGCAAGCTACAAGGCTGTATTTTCGGCATTGCTTTAAGGTATGCCAGGCAATGTCTGCAGGGAAAAGGGATGGTTCAGTTGGCTACTCGTTCTCACCACCTCTCTCCTGACCACATCAGGGAAAGATGTGAATGGGAACTAACCCAAGGGAAACAACAGAAATCCCTATTCAGCTGGATTCGCCCCCTGATCTGGTTGATCATGCAACCACATCAGTGCCATTGCAAGCTCAAAGGAGGAGGTGAGAACAGGTGAAAATGTAGCCTCACCCCTCTCGGCTGCAGCCTACAATTTGGATGGCTTAAAATGACTTCAAATCTGTCGCAGAGACAAAAAAAGAGATGGATCTGCACTGGTGGAGATGGGACAGGTCCTCTCCTTTCCAACAAGTAGCTTACCAAGACCCCTGGTGTCACGACACGGCAGTACTCATCGTGGAGGCCATGAGTTGCAAACCACTTGTCTCACAAGAAACGATCACCTGGAAAACAAGAGAGAGGAAAAGTTTCACCAACAAGAACACAGCCAAAGCCAAGCTGTGCACCCCTTCCATGCACCCAGACACAGAAGCAGAGGAATCAAAGCTTGCTCTGAACCACCGACAAGGGGAAGCCTCTGCTCAGACTGGCAAGATTTGTCAGCACCCAAAAAGCCACCATCAGACTGGAAGAATCTGAAGAGCTGCCCATGGAGGAGAAATAGGTCAGACCTGCTTTAGCACTCCCACATTTCAGCCAGCTCAATTCCCATGAGCTCATCTGTGCTTAGAGAAGCTGACACAAAGCCTGGACATGTCACCTTCCCTTCTCTGCACCCATCTCTCTTCAAAGGCTCACCTTCCCCTCACTATGTGCTCAGCAACTCCTGCCAAACCCCTGTGCTTCACATATACAACCTCCTCCACAGCCCGATATGTTTAAATAAAAACATCAAGCACCAGGGAGAGCCAGGCAGTCACATCTAGGGGAAAACCAGGCAGGTTTTAGGAGGAGGAGGCACTACCTACTGTTCTGACAGCTCCTACTTTACGTCATTGTACACACTACAGGGAGAAGGGAATCCAATGGCAACCCTTCCCAAGGAAGGCATACTGCAAGTCTGCTCAAGATAGAGGGGCCAACCCCACCCTGTACTATGGTTATTTCCTATAAGGTCAAAAGAGTCCACGGCCCAAGAACCCATCAGCCACATTTTCAGTAATACAGACAGCCCTGCATCAATTAATGCTCACTCACATGTTAAAGCAAGTTTAAGTGTCTGAAAGTTTGGTAATACAAGGGAACACAGACTTTGAGGAACAGCTTAATGGTAAAACTGAAGTCAGTAAAAAAGGAGCCAGCTTCTCCCTCACCCACTGTGAAAACTGTAGAGGCTGCAAGAACAATATGAATCCAGACAACACACACACTGTCAGGGCCAGCATGGTCTCTCAGAGCACTCTCAGCTATTTACACAACACGGACAGCCCTGCAGTAAAGTATGACTGCAAACTGAAATCACTACCCGAGGTTTTCTGTGTAATCCCAATGCATTCTGCTGACCAGATCTCCCAACAGAAACGCAGGAGCTGGAGGCTCAATTAGTTACGCATTGTGAAACCCTGTGCATATTCTCTTCCCTCCAACATTCTCCAACTATTATCTACTGCAGCTTCACCTTAATAATGTAGCAATGCACTGCCATGTAATCCACTTCACAAAACCGAACTACAAAGCTAGGCCCAAACAATGCAGCTACATTCTCCACCCAGTCCAGCCAAATCAAACAATGAAATCATCAGCGTGATAGACCATCCTTATCTGGCCAAGTCACACCTGCAGACAGAAGCTGAAACAAACACCTATCGCAACAAGCTGCTTCATCCAGTAAAACCTACCACAGCAGCACAATCATCCCTGAATCCAATTACCCAGTAATATCTCCTCTCCCCTTTCCCCCACCCCACCCAATGAAACAATACAGGCTAAGCCCTGCCAGTGCCAATACTGACACACCTCTACCAAAGCGGCGACAGAAATCACTTTTTCCTTTGAAGAGGAAAACATGTGAACACCAGCACACAGCAGTATGGGCAGAATCTACCACAAACAACGGCCAGAGCTCTACTGCTTGAAACACTCAATCCCAACTTGGCAAAAAACTGCATTACAGACCACAGCTCAGGTGCCCCTGCTAGAGGGGCACCGTCCATCTTTTAGGCTACCCAGTCGGGCAATGTAACTCCATCCCCCAGTGTCCCATCTCTGCTGCTCACCTGCATGGTCTTAGTCCCCAGCCAGTACAAGACAGCTTGCTCTCCACAGTGATTTTGAGAGCACAAGGCTGAGAGGACGTACACAAGCAGCTACCACAGAGTAACCAACAAGATGCAAATGCACATCTTGGTTTACCTTTCGGTTAAGTATTCGTGAACCACCCCTGTACTTCTACAAACCAGCCACCATACTACTGCACTGCAAACAGAAGGTGAAAAAAAACATCTAAACTAGCTCATTCCTACTTTAGGCCTTTAAACTGCAGAAGCTTGGTAGTGATAAGTGGTCAAGTACCTGGAGGTGTACAGCATTATGGCTGCTCCAGCAGGAACAGCTGCAGACATCACTGATTCACTTCAGTCTTTTCTCCCCCTCTTTGAGAAGGAGAATGTGGAGAGATGAAATAAAGGCATACCAAGTAGATAAAAGTATCAGACTTGTGGCCTTACTGTGACATGAAGCATTAAAGGCAAGAAACCTTTCTCTGTGTACAAGAAAGAGCACGCTGCTATTTTCCCCGTGGCCTTTCTGAGACTGTCAGTCTGTGCTGGACTGAGGCTGGTGAGAGCCAAAAATCAGCATGGAAGAAGAAAAAAGGCTAGAGACCTGCTGCTACAGAAAACAAAAGATAACTTTGAATGGAAGCTGAGCCTGCACCCTGAATTGTATCTGTGACAGTGGAGTGGGCAAGGAAGGAGAGAGAGCGGAGTAGGAGACTGCTCTGGGAAGAGCAGCAGCGTTAGGAGGGACCAAAACCAGCAGCAACAGGAGGTATTTGAGCCACCACTCATCCTGACAGCCACCAGGAAGCAAACCTCTGCATGAGCATCCACCAGTGGATTCCCCGTGTGACCTGAGAGGTGGGGTAAGGCAATGAATCAGCCAACACGCTCCTTCAGCACAATTTTACTGGGAAGGGCACATCCTATTTCTCCGACCCTCATTCAACCACATAACAGGGAGAACAGCTGCACTGGCAAAAGGTGAATCCCCTACACCCAAGAGCTACCACTGGTTTTCATCACGTGCTGCACTTACCAGTTTTGTTAAGCATTTGCTTATTTTACACACTTGCAGCTGAACTGCACGTTACTTTTTAATAAGCTGCTGTTTAATGAAGTACTTGATTACACACCTCATTGATAAGGAGAGCAAGTGGGAAACAAGAGGACTCAGGAAGGGTTATTTAACACTTTTATTGAGCTGTCAGACTTTCTTAAGATCATGTAAAAGCAAACAGATAAATTGACATGAGTATTCTACACCTGACACATCTCCCCATGGCATTGGAGGATGGAGGGACACAGGACACTCTTCAATCCCTTGAACCAGCCCCAATTTCTAGATATGGCTCCCTACCATGGGCTATTAAATACACCTTTATATCTGCCTCTACCTCTTAGCAAACACTGCCCTCCTCATCCTTTCCCAGGAATGCACAAAGCACGTGCTTGTAACACAACCAGGATTGGACCCACCAGCATTCAAACAGGTCTGTCAAAAACGCAGCCTTAACCTCCTGTACACCAACTGCTGTGCTGGACCCAGGAAAGCAACTTCCACCAGCCCAAGCCAACCCAACTCTATCCTTTCCATTGCTAGCACTTGTGATCCAGCTGAAAACTGGCTCCAGAAAAGACAGGAATAATTTTCAGGAGAAAACTTTCATGTTTCGTCCAGCCAGGTGGCCACATGCTCACTGTCACAAAGGAGGCAGCAGTGACTGATGTCACAGGCACGGACAGACCTGTGCTTGTTAAAATAGACTTGCATCCATCTCCTGGATGGCAGGTTCCTCTGCCCTTTTTCCTAAACAAGGGCAGAAAACACATGGGGTACCTAAAGAACTGCTGGGGCTAAAGACATAGTGTCACATGTGCACATAAATTCACAGGTCACCTGAACACCACACAGCTCTGCTCTGCCATCAGTAGACACCCTGACTACCTACACTGTCCTGGCTCTTTCCACTGCAGGGTTTGCAGACCTCAGCCCTCAACCAAACTACACAAATTATCACACATCAGACTTTCAGCTGACATGCTCCACGTGCACCTTCTACCAGAAAGGCAGGGGCCACTTGGACGAGGGTCACCTCATATGGCACGTGGACCATATTCCACCCAAAACAGCTGATGATTTGTGAAAAATACCATGTTCTATCATTCCCTAGTAAGCCACAAATCCCCCTTACTTATAAATTATTTTCTAAACATCAAGAGATAACTTGTCCACCTAAGCTGAGTAGACAGCAACTCACAGTCTGTCATCAATTTCTAGATGGTCTTAACTTGTCCTGAAGCAGTGTGGACTTTCCTATGTTTATGTCTTGCCAATAAAAAGTTATGGCATACACAAAGTCTTCAGTTTCACAAAATATTCCACTTATCCCCGTCAGAGAAATCACTGCTAACCCCAAGTCTGCACAATATTACCTCTCTGCTCACAGTCTTGCACTGGAAATGACTCTCAAGCAACAGAATAATCAAGAACTTGTCACCTGAAGTTATTTTGCTACATGAATGTGGGGACTACACAACCTCCATAGAGAAAACACCTTCTCCTGTACACATGGTGAGTACACACCTCTCTGTTAAACTCCAAATGAGTTGGTTATTGCCTACAGTTACCTCCAGCCCCGAAGCACAGAGAAAGGGGCTGAGCAAAGACAAGCTCACTTAAAATTAGCACCTTGAAGACCTACGAGCACATTGACATGGAAAGAGCACGCAAGATTCTATGCCATTACATGGGAGAGGAGCTCCTCTGACTTGTTCAACTTAGTGTAAAAATTCAGGACCACAGGAATAAGCCTCACAGAAACTGTAGGAACATATTTAATCACCCCTGTGCAAACGAAGTATGTGTGGTCATACAACGTAGCTCTGCTGAGCCTACCTGTGCCTGCCCATATCTCAAGTCAGACAGTACAGATACCCCTCCTCCCATAATTCCCCCCCAACTCCTATCACCACACACATGGACATCTCCCAAAGAATCAATCTGTCCTAAAGTCCATCCAGAACAGCAATGGCCACAGAAAATTCAACCTTTTGGTCTCCATCCTTAAAATGTAAAGTCAAAACAATCACTGACAAAGCACAATACAAACCCAAAGGCTCAGGGCACTAAGTGTTTTATGACATTTCTCCTGTAACCATCCCCTTCTCTCAGAAAATGGTACCTCTAGCAACTATTCACTTCCTTCCTCCTGCTGGCAAGCACATGGATAACCAACAGTAGCCACAAAGCCTAAGTAATTAGTATTACTATATAAGTAATTAGTATTTTTAGGTACTTTAAAAAAAATCATTCTGAAATAGTCTTTTGCATCAAACACATTACCCACCACTCTCATAAGCACCACTTTTGAGAGCTGTGAGTAGCACTAACACTTTTTGTCAAACAGACGACTACTTGCCCATTAAACCTTTTTTCAGTGCATCAAACAACACTTCAGTGCATTATTAATCCAGTGGGGACGAATGACTGTCCTAGACAGCTTCTGACTCTGCACGACTCCTTCCCCAAAGTAATGGAGGAGACAGACACTTATGGATGCTGGTGAGCAGATCCAAGGTGTACAGAGACAGACACAAAGAGCCTTTTAATTTCCCAGCTGCTATTATGTAGACAACACTCCAACTACTTGGTCCACCTGGGACTCAAACAAGCTCTTGGCAGATTCTGACACAGTTCCAGAAATCAGTCTGGGGGAAAACGCCAAGAAGAAAAACCCCTAAAAAAAAAAAAAAATAAACAACAAAAAACACCTCAAAGCCTAAGCTACAACTATCTGCTTGGGTACAGGAACGTTATGAGCACTTCCCCTTGGTGTCCATGCCATGCCAGCCTCTCCAGCAGCAGTGGCATTTGCAGTCAGCCAGGCTGCTGCCCGGGCGCTGGGGACGCGGTCGCGCACCCCACAGCACGTCACAGCGTCACCCTGACCTCAGCCCAGCGCCCCTGCACAGCTGCCAGCACCAGCTCGGCTCCACCTCTGTTAGCAATGCTGGGAGCAGCCTATGTACTTTACAGCTGGAGTTTTAAGCACCTTAAGTGGGGTGTCACTTGCCTGAGCAGCAGCCCCTCTGCCCTGCCGTTCCTACTGTTGTTGACACCGGTAAGGATCAGCAGCTCGAGCAATAAGGGGTTTTTCAAGAAATGTTTTAACAGTATTTCCCTAATATATGACAGGCTTCCCACATCGTATTAGCAGTTAACAGCCCCAGCATCAGTCAGCATTGCATGCAGGAGTCCAGTGGACAACGATAAGAGTTTTCCACAGGTTGTTTTCACTGCTTTGGCTTCTGTCAAAGTTTCTTCTACTTTTCAGGAGTTAGGCAACATGTTCAGAGGCAGAGGCAGAGGCAGTCTTCTCCCCCTTACTTCTCTGGGTTTGTTTTTTCAAAAATTTAAATAGGGACATCTGCATGAACAACCATGGGTAAAAGACACCTGTATCAAGCTTGCCAGCAGCCCATTATCTAGAAACTAATCTGTGGGAAGGGAGTGGGGGGAAAATATGCTGAAATAATGGATGGGAAGACAGGACCGAGGAGACACCAGTTTGTTCTTCAACAAGTAGTAACGTCACACCACTTAAGCAGAAGGCTTGGGAGAAACAAGTCACCTATCAGTTCAGCCTGGGGGAAAAAAAAAGGGCTTTTCCCTTTCCTTTCAGCATCCCTTCAACGGGCTTCCAGAATGAAAGATAAGAAGCAATCCTCAGGCATAACTCCCTGGGCTGCAATCTTGTCAGTTTTCATGAGCTAAGTGAGGCTGGGATGGGTCAGCACAGGACAGAGCTCCTCTGAGGAAAACCCAGTGCTACATGTAGCGAGCAGTAATTCCCTGGTATGCTGCAAGGGGACACAGCGCCCATCCGAATGACGGGGGGCGACCCACACACCTTCCTCCCTTGTAACCTTCACCTCTACGGGCATTTGGTCTCTCTCATCCCAAACGAGCAGTTTTTCAAGGCTCCCCTGAGTATCACTACCTTCCAGCACTGCCTGTCCGACCAGTTTTCCTTCAGGACTGTCACCACCAGCCATCCTTCTGCTCTTCTCCTCCTGCTGTTCTTTAGCACCCGGGGAGCTCAGCACCACAAAGCTGCCATTCCCACAGGGACAGAGTTGGAGGGTTACTATACCCCCTGCAGCTTACTGCTGGGTAAGATGAGTGTCAGGGGGTGCAGTGAACCTCTCACTTCTTTGCTTTTAGGCCCACATCAGGCGCGTGAGATGTAGCACGACCTTTAGCCCCACAGTGCAGCGCTTCCATACTGGTTTCCTTGTCGTTAAATGTAGGATCTTCCACACAGCAACGACTCTTCTAAGGAGTGAGGCACTTCAAAGAACTCCAGCAAGCAAAGACTGCATGTACACAGTACTCCACGATGCTACATGATTACATCAAAGCTGCCGGGATGAAAAACTGACATTTGATAAATAACATGAGGTCACCTCAAAGATCTCGGAACACCGCACGTAAAAAAAAAAAAATGTTATTTTGACAAGAAATTAAGCAATTGTATAATCAGGTCTATTATCAAATCTACTGCTTTGACACGATCTTATAAAAGCCCGAGGAGCATGCAATTCCAATTGCTGCGGGATCCTCCCTCACTCGACACAAGATGTAGGCATTTAATATTCTTCTAGTTAGCCACGCATGTACAGCAAAGCCTAACGCACTTCAAAGTATTTACTGTGCTGTATAAACAGAGCGCTACTTTCAAAGACTCATAACTGTCAAATCAAAGCTAGCTTCCACCAGAGCATTCAGGAGCATTTCTGCTGGATGGTGGCTATCTGCCTGACAGTTTCAACCTTCTATCCCCAACCACAAGAAGGTTAAAATTTATATATATATATATATATATACATATGTATATTTTTTTTTAAGAGACAGAAGAAAGCGTTTTCTTGCTAACAAGCTGTCAAGTCATTTTGGCCTGAAGTTCTTTACTCCTTTCTCACACGTACATATCAAATGTGGTGGAAAACTTCCACTAGAAGTAGTTCTGAGAGGAGTTTCTCCATACACAGGACTGCCCGAACTCTCCATTGTAACAGCTCCCACTGTTGAAGCTGCGGCCGCTCACCTCAACAGGCTACGGCTTGGTTTTACATTATACTGCAAATACATTTCTAATCAACCCTCAAACAAATCCAGATTGGTACACAGATAAAACACTGCCATTTCACAGGCAGTGGAACAGCGATATCAAGACACCTGAAGAAGTCCGTTCAGAAAATGCAGAAAGCAGAGCTCTGAGTCACCTGAAAAATGGTCTGGTGCTGCTCCTACCCAGTGTTTTTATCAATGAACCACTAAACCAGAGTTTTTGTTCAGGTCTTCACAACTCTGTACACACTGCAAAGGTAGCACAGATAGCCTGACACGGCATACACAAGCAGACTCACAGACCTAAAGCAATTTGTAGAGCATATGTAACATGGTCAAGTAGATAAATCACAGGCTCTGTTCTTAAGTTCGTCACCAAATCCAACCTAACCTGGTTATAAAAGAGCCCATGGGCCCCAGCTTCCCCCTGATAAGGTAAAACAGATATCTGCACCCTTTGTTCAGAAGGCACAGAGGACAACAAGAGGCACACGGGGACCATCAGGTGACAAGATGGGTCAGTGATTTAAAGCTCCTTTGCCCTGCTGCTATGCAGACAGCCCCACCAGAAAGCCAAGGAGCAAAACCACAGTGGCACTGCCTTCTTAAGAGGCCAAACAGCCATGAGAGCATGAGAAAATGACAACCAGCTCAGAGTAACTGCAAATGCTAGGAGCTGGACAGGCAGCTGTGTGGCTACCTGCGCCTGAACAATAACTGCTCTGAACTCAAAACAGAAAACATTAAGCTCTCCCTCAATTCCATATGCAGCTAAATTATTGTGTATATCATGCACTCTTTTCATCATAGGCTGTACCACTAAGGAGCACCTAAAACCAGCACTGTTTTCAAGACTACAGCACCCAATTTTCAGTGAGCTCTCGGAGTACATTGCTCTACCACCTCTCAGCCCTGCTTTGCTGAGAGAAATCATGTCACTGGTAAAGCATACTTTCCAGATTCCTTCCTTCAAAAGGATTTCATTGATTCTACCTAGGCTTTAAAAAACAGTCCACTGTTCATCTCCCTTCCCTTTTCCACAAGCTCCTTCTCAGAGGCCAAACAAGGAAAATCTCACCTCTCCTTTTAAGTCTGTCCGAAAACAAAGGAATCTTGGAGCAAGTCTATCTGTTCTAAACAGATAACATTCATTCTTCAGATACAGTAAAAATTTCATAACAGTCTTTAAATAAATTCAATGAGTGTTGCCAAAGCAGATCAAAACCAGAGCGCTCAGATCCGACCCTGCCGAAGAGCAGGTAAGAACAACCCCAGGAGGAGGAGCAGGTAAGAACAACCCCAGGAGGAGGAGCAAAGCAAATGTGAAAAGTTGGGTAGCAGCAGCTCACCTCTCGATAAGCCACACTCTGGTAGCTCAGATCAGGTTTCAGGATGGCTCACCACGATCCAACCAGAAGCCTGTGCAGTTGAAAGGCGCATCTCACACACTGGTCTCAATCAAGTTTCCAGAGAAGTGTGTGAGAACCCTGCAGCAAACCCAGGCACAACAAGCTATTCCCTCCCTCTCTTTCCCAATATAGAAGCACATCTGTTAGAGCAGAATAAAAAACAAGGTTTAGACCACAGGCTTAATACCTCTTCCAAAATTTCTACTGTCACTGATTACGATAATTGAATATTCTTCATATTCCTACAGACATCTGATGCTTTTTAACTCTTGTTGAATTCTTGCTCCTGATGATTCTCACAGCATGAGTTTCACTGCTTAATTGCAACCACACTAAATAGTCTATAGTCAATTTACAGTGCATGTTCTGTATCATCAGGCAGTCTTGACACAGCAGAAACTTTTCCATAGCTAAACCACCATACTCTTCTTTTTGCCCTGCTTAAAGCTCCTTAAGTGGGTTTCTCTTTTGATACCTTGCCTATATGTTCAGAGATGATTTTTGGCAAAAAGAACAAGGTAAGCTGAAGGGAACTGTTCTCAGGCAAGGGAAGCTGTAACAAACAGGTGTAAAAAAACCACTTAGCAAGTTTAGCAGGCTCTTGGGGTATAGCTAGATGAGCACTCCTTTTGGCAGCAATGCCAGCTTAAAGAACTGCTGCTACCAATATTTACTTCCATCCCTGCACCACACTGTCTGATGTGCCCATACAACCGCTTGTGTGGCCAAACAGTGAACCAGTTTGGCAAACTGATGCAGGCTAAGTATAATCTTTTTTTTTTTTTTTTTTGCCAGGCTACTTATAATCCAGATCGACTCCTGGATCCTTTCAGCATCCAGCTGCTCCAGCAGCAGCACCAGCAGGGTGGCACAGAGTCAAAATGGGCAAGCACCAGGGACTCCTCACAAGCCAACTCTAGCACTGAAAGAAGTGCTAGGCCCCTACAGGTAAGGGTGCAGCCACAAAGCACAGCCCTGCTTCTTCAAAGATATAAATTAAAAGCCAACACTGCAACAGTTCACTTGGATTCAGCACATTAAAATGTCACCTACTTTTGCTAACTAGCGTTTGTGAGCCAGAGGGGTCTTAAAGGCAACCCTTCAGAAATGTCCCAACAGACAGATTTTTTTTTTTGTTCAAGTTCTTTGGCATTATCAGAATTCCTAATTATAAACAAGGTTCCCGTTCTTCTGGACTTGTGTAGTCCCTACCACAAAGGAGATCGAGCTCCAAAATGATTAAACTTTTAAAACACAACAAAAAAAACCCCTAACAGACAAGTAAGGGTGTGTGAGGGAAAGCTATTTTAAATCCAATAGGCAGAGCAGTGCTTGGACAAAAACTCAGCAATGAAATCTCCTTCCATTCACAAATTGCCCTGAAAACCTGAGTTAACACCTTGACTTTGCCAGCAGGAAGACTACAGGGACTCCAGCAGAGCTTGTAAGCAGGAAATCCAAGCCCACAGCAAAACTTGCTGGGTTAAAGGCCTTCATATCTATGTAAACAGAGCACGGAACTTAGCGAGGCACAGGGATTTCTGTGAAGTCCAAGGCCACGCAAGCTAGTTAGAAGGATTTTATGAAGGTTGCCTGCATTGCTCTGAAGAAATTCTGGTAAACTTCTAGAAACCAGAGGAGATGAAGCCCTGTGAGACAGCACAGCTCACATTTAAGAGAGAATTTAGTTTGAATACTCACTTGGGTGTAAATTGCTCCACAGGATAAAGCTGTTGTTGGTCGGGTTTTGATTTCTTTTCCTATTGAATTTATAAAAGATCAACAAAATTCCTAAGCCACAGGCACAGTTTGTAAGGCCAGAGAGTCAATAGAGCACGTCAGGAACTCAGAGGAAAAAAACATCTAGAAAGAAACGTGTAGAAATAGGTATGGGAAGACAACATGTTACAGAGCAACAAGCCTGAATGGCTATCAAATATGGATCAAAGGCACTCCATTCTTATCCACCTCAAATGTATAAACTGCTCAGAAAAGCTGTTGTATATGAACATTTTGGCCTTGTGGCTCATAGTTGCCTCAGTTTCTATATTTGGATATTTTGTGACAAATGTAGTTTCTCTGGCTGTGGACTGACCCTAACTGAAAACAATCCAAGCCATGAACTGTAAAGATGAAATGCAAGATGGGGGGGTTGGAAGGGGGAAACACAGGGAAGAAAAGAGTCCACACTCTTTGTATTCACAATATACAGAAGAGATCTACAAAGTTTCTAGTTGTATGAACAGAAACTATTTATTTTCTTTCACATTAAAATTCAGTTCCTGCCTAGCTTAGAAGACTGTGTTGACCAATAAACAAATTAATTTATCACAAGAGAGGAAAGCAAAACACCTTCCCAAAACAAACAACTACAAAAAGATGGTCACAAAGGTACTGTCACAGCCCAGCTACTCCCTCACACCAGAGCAGATCACGATTTCTCCCAAAACATCTTTACTACATCTCTGAGCTCATAATCTGTATTGGGAAAACCACACTGGGAAGTCAGCAACAGAACTTTTACCAAACATTGCAAAAATCAAGTACACGTTCCCCAAAACAATGTTAACCTGACCAAAGATGAGCAGCTGAATGGGAGTGGAACTTACACAAAAACTTGTTTAGGGTGGGGGTTTTTTTTGCTTGGTTTTGTTCACACTTATTTAACGTCAATGATTGATTAACATTTTGGATAAAGGAGGTCTTTGTTAGTGATTCAGCATCTCCACCCCTTCAATTAAGGTGTTAAGAGTTCACACAAGTGCAGTGAGACCCAAGATCCCCAGACCCCTCTCCACAATAAAAACCCGACCCAAAAAAACCCAGATTTAAAAAAAAACCCAAAAAAACAAAAAACAAAACCAACAAAACAAAAACGCACTCGCCCCACTGAGAAAATTGCCAAATCCCAAAACTGACATCGTTGCTAACTTCAAGTTAAAAAAAGAAAGATGCCTTTCTTTTGTTGTTTGAGGAGAGGCCAGCAAGGGAGAAAGGGAAAGAATATGAGCCCTTGAGCCATTTTTATGCTCTGAGTAAGAAAAAAAAGGACACATTCATTAAAAATAATCTCTTTGGAGATCACTGTTAAAAGAAAAAAAAAAATCCACACCGCACAACAGAGCCAAAATGTCCAAAATGGCTATAAAACCTCACCAAAGCAACCCTTGCAATTCAGGGAGAAAGCAGATCCCTCTGCTATGGGATGCACAGCTCCACTGCCACAGGATGAACACACCACGACTGTGTGTGCCCCTGTTTAACTTCACCAGTCCAACACCTGTAACACCCCACTGCAGGCAGAAATCCAGCACGACAAGACCTCGTAGGAAGCAGCAGAGGGGTAAACAAAAAGAAGTGGGAATAAAGCTGTTTAGGTATGTTAATTCTTTCATTCCATACCCTTTTATTCGATGTAATGCCTTGCCTAGCTTTCCAACATTTGTTTTTGAAATATTTTGAGCAATCACTGACCAAATAACCCAACAAAACAGAAGAAAAAAAATCTACATCACTTTTTCTCCTCATGCTTTTAAAGCTTGATGCACTTAAGGATGCTTAGAGCATCCTATGATGTCTGTGTGGGCTTTTCACAGAGAAATCGAGGACAAAACACTTTCAAGGAAAAAAATGTTACTGGAACCCCTAAAAACTGGAATAACTGTCTCCCCCACTTCCTCAAACTGTGTTTTGACAGTAGAACAACCAGTCACTAACAGGGAGGCTTTGTGAGACAAACTCGACCTGGCACAACCCTTTCTTCTCTGCCCAGACCAAGGTGGTGTTACTTTACCAGGTTAGAGCTACAAGACTTGATGTTCCTCTCCCCAGAAAGTGAGGTTCATGGTCATTTCCAGACCAGTTTCAGAGTCCAAGTTAGGTTTGGCATCTGGAGAGTAAAAGCATCTTCCCTTTCACATTGGTGGCTTTGAACCCTTCCACAAGCACCTCCCTACTAACACTTCTTTTGTACTTACTTTCTTTCTTTGCTGCATGACAATTTCCTGATTTCTCATGTAGTTTACTATTAAGCCACTAATCATGTCATCATCCCACCCTAATTTTTTATATCCAAATAGCAACCCACAGTTGACTGTCACATCGGATTCCTCCCATCTGTGTCCTCGCGCTTTGTCTCCCCTCCGCGAGCAACATCCACCTTCCACATCCCAAACACTCCATCAGCAGAGGCCTTTCCAGTCCCATCATTCCACCACCTACACTGAGACCTCAGCAACAGAAAGCTGGACTACACAGAAGACCAGAGTGCTCTCACTCATCTTAGAGGTGGAGCCTTGTTGTCTTCCTGCATCTGCCTGTCCCATCATTTCCCTGAGCATCTGGGGTCTTCAGTGTTCGTTTCTCCTCATCATCCAACCCTTGGCCTCATGAACTTGCAGTGTTTCTACAGATTTAGCCTTTCTCATCCCCCTCTGCAGCCAGCCAGGGCACAGACTGCCTCTCTCTCACACACACACACAAAATGCCTCTCCTCTACCTAGCAGGAATACTTCCAAATAAACACACTGCCCCTGCCTTGTCAGATACTGCTCCTCCCCACAATCCCTATATACAAGATCCCCTCCCACACTCCTGGTATCCCACAAACTCCTCTTGCACAGCTATCCTACATACCAGTCCAACACTACATGCTCAGCTTCCCTGGATTCCTGCTCTCCTGAACTACCTACACTGCTTTCCCAGCTCTGGAGCCCTAAAGTTTCCCTCATGACCACTTGCACCACCTCCCCCATGCTGAAAGCACTTCCTGCCCACCCCATATTTTGGCTCCTAATGCCTCCCCATACCACAATCCCACTCCCATATCCCTTTCTCCCAGTGACTCAAGACCCAGCTCCTCATGTCCTTTCATCACCACATCCATCCCCTCATGTATCAACCCAGTTCTCCCCAGCAGACCTCATACTCCACATTGCTTCATCCACCTCTTCCTCTTTTCCTGCAGACACCCATATTTCAGTTCTTCCTGCAAAGCCCCCCATCCCTTCCTCACAACACATCCCAGATGATCTGATGTCCCACACACTATCTCCCACCCCATCACTGCCTGTTCCACCTTTTATTCCAATCCCTACATCCCTTCCACAGACCTCTGTGCCCCAGTCCCTCACTCCAGCTCCACTGCAGAGTTCACACCTGCAGCTCCCACCCCATTTACTCCAGCTTCTTTCTCCTAGGACACTTCTCACTCCCAGTCCAACAGCCCAGCCCTGGTGCTGCAGCCCCTCCCATCCCATGTCCCAGCCCCTCACTGGGATTGGAACCCCAGAGGCACCTCTCTAATCCACCCAAAAGCATCCTTTTCCATGGCACGGCCCTGAGGGCATCCCACAAACCTCAGAACACCCCACACACCAGCCTGGCCTCCAGAGCACACCCCAGTGCCACCCCACAGCCACGGGGACACCCAGTGCCCCCAGCACAACCCAGTGCCCCCAGCACAACCCAGTGCCCCCAGCACAGCACAGCCACATGGGCACCCAGTGCACCCCAGAGCACCCCATACATCCCTCCACGAAGTACAGCTCTTGGGGCATCCCATGCACCACACAGCAACCCAGGACAACCCACACACCCCTTCCCATGGCAAATCCCCTCTGGCATCCCCTGCAAGTAGGAGCATCCCACACATTCCTCCATACAGCACAGCCCCCAGGCATCCCCTGCACCACAATGCAGGGCAGAGCATTCCATGTGCCCCTCCACAGGGCACAGCCTCCAGGGCTGCCTGTGCATGCCAAAGCACCCTAATCATCCCATGGAGCACAGCTCCAAGAGCATTCCCTGTGCCCCACACATCATTCCATGGAGCACAGCTCCCAGGGCATCTTCTGCACCCCAAATATCCCATGGAGCACAGCTCCAAGAGCATTCCCTGTGCCCCACACATCCCTCCATGGAGCACAGCTCCCAGGCCATCCTCTGCACCCCAATCACCCCACGGAGCACAACTCCAAGTGCATCCCACGCACTTCACACATCCCGCCACGATACACAGCCCCCAGGTACCCCGAGCTCCCCACACATCCCATGGAGCACATCCCCTGCACCTCACACATCCCACCGTGAAGCACAGCTCCCAGGGCATCCCCTGTGCCACACACATCCCATGGAGCACATCCCCTGCTCCCCCACAGATCCCGCCATGGAGCACAGCTCCCAGAGCATCCCCTGCTCCCCACACATCTCATGGGACACAGCTCCTGGAGCACTCCCTGCTTTCCACCCATCCCTCCATGGAGCACATCCCTTGCTCCAGGGGCGCAGGGGGGGTGGAGGAAAAGGAAGGGAGTCCCATGGAACACATCCCCTGCACCCCACACTTCCCTTCACGGAGCACAGCTCTCAGCACATCCCACACACCTCATGGGGCACACCTCCTGGAGCATTCCCTGCTCCCCACTGATCCCTCCACGGAGCACATCTCCTGCTCCCCACACATCCCATGGAGCACATTCCCTGCTCTCCACACATCCATCCCTCCATGGAGCACATTCCATGCTCCCCACACACCCCATGGAACACAGCTCCTAGAGCGTTCCCTGCTCCCCACAGATCCCATGGAGCACAGCCCCTGCTCCCCACACACCCCATGGAACACAGCTCCTAGAGTGTCCCATGCTCCCCACAGATCCCATGGAGGACGTTCCCTGCTCCCCACACATCCCATGGAACACATTCCCTGTTCCCCACACATCCATCCCTCCATGGAGCACATTCCATGCTCCTCACACATCCCTCCATGGAGCACAGCTCCCAGCACATCCCCTGCTCCCCACAGATCCCTCCATGGAGCACATTCCCTGCTCCCCACACATCCCTCCATGGAGCATATTCCCTGCTCCCCACACACCCCATGGAACACGGCTCCTAGAGCACACCGTGCTCCCCACACCTCCTATGGAGCACATTCCCTGCTCCCCACACACCTCATGGGGCACAGCTCCTGCCTGGAGCATCCCCTGCTCCCCACAGATCCCTCCATGGAACACATCCCCCGCTCCCCACAGACCCCTCCACGGGGCACAGCTCCCAGCACATCCCACGCTCCCCACACATCCCATGGAGCACATTCCCTGCTCCCCACACATCCCTCCACGCAGCGCATCCCCCGGGCACCCCCGATCCCTCCTCTCCCGCTCCTCCGGGGCACCTCCGTCCCCCCCCTGCCCTCCGCGCCCCGTAACTCCCGCGCTCGGTGCGGGTGCCGGTGCCGGGCTCCCTGCCCGCACTCACGGCGCTCAGCGCGGGGCCGGCGGGGGCGGCGCGGCGGCTCCGTCCCCCTCCCGCACACACACACAGGCTCCATTGTCCGCCGGCGGCGGCGCCTCCCCCCCCGCGCCCCGCGCACTTGGTACCGCCCAGCGCAGCCCCTCGCGCCCGCTCCCCCCTCCCCGCTCCCCCCCCCGCCTTCACCGGTTCTTCTCCCCCCTCCCGACCCTCCCGCTCCCCCCCCCCGCTCCCGCCGCGTCCCGCAACCCGCGGAGAGGGGAATGGTACCGCCCGTCGCGCGCGCCCCGCCCCGGCAATGGTACCGTCCGCTACTCCCTCGGTCGGCGGCGGGACCGCCTCTCGCTCCCCGCGCCGCGCACTTGGTATCGCCCGGCACCCCCCCACAGCCCAGCCCCGGCCGGTGGGCGGGGCCTCTGTCCCTTCCCCCTCCGCCCGCCCGGTGGTACCAGCCGGGCCCTTAAAGGGACAGGACTCCCCCCTCCTCTCCCGGGGAGGCCGCGAGGCCCCGCCCCGCTCATTAGCATAGCCCGTCCTCCTGCCCCGCGGCGGCCACGCCCCCTCTCCCCTTTTAAAGAGACCGCGCGCCCCAGGTACTTCTTAAAGGGCCCCCCCACACACAACTCCCCTCAGCGAGAGTCGCCCTCCCCCCCCCCCCCGTTCCCCGTGCCCCGGTGCCCGCCCGGTTGCCGCAGGGGAGGCGCCCCCCGGTGCGGGGGGAGGGGGACCTCCCCCCTCCCCGCGCCCCCCACCCCCTGAGGCGGCGCGCGGGGGGGCCCGCCCTGCCCCCCCCGCACCGGCGGCGGCCCCCCCGTAACGGAAACGGCGCGCGGGGCCCCTGAGGGGCGGCGCGCGCTCCCCCCTCCCGCCCCCCCCCCCACCGCCGGGGGAATGCGGGATGTGGGGATTTGGGATGAGGGATGGCGGGTGCCCTGGCCCGCCCTCCTCCTCGGCACCGGCTCCCCCTCCACCCCCACCCCGCCAGCCTCCGCCTGCCGCCCGTGCGGGGGGGGGGTCCACGCCCCGGGAATCGCGGGGAGAAACCGGCCGGAGGTGCCGCTGGCACATGTCCCCTCTCCACACACGTCCGTGAGGGAGGCGGGATGAGAGCGTGAGGGAGGAGAAGCAGCTCCTTGCTGAGCAACCCCCCGGCTCAGAGCACCCACCGGCGGGGAGATCCCTGGGCTGTTTTCTCTGGTGGGAGAAAGCACCGGGTTAAGCAGCAGCCCGGAGCTGAGCAGGGAGGGACCAGGCAGTAATGGCAAACAGACACAACCTATCAACTCCTAAAAACGCTCAAGGGTCCCATCCTGGACAAACGCTCCGTGTCTTCGGGGGATTAGACATCAAATGTGGTTCGGTTTCGAACTGGCAGCGAGGAGTTTTGAAGATTCGCAGCAATCCCCCGCCCTTTTCAGACCGAGATTTACTCTGTGAAAAGAGGGCTTTCAACATCCACTAATCCTCCCTCCTTCACCTCCACAAAAATGTTCTTAAAATGGGCGATCTCGCGGGCTGCGAGGAAGAGCCTTTCCAAGCACACCGATGCAGGGACCCACCGAGCAGAGAGAGCCAGCTGATCAGCTTTGCATATCCGCGATGCCTGAATAACCTGTTTGCCCAATACACCACCAGTGAACAGAAATGCAGTGTGTCCTCCCTCTCCCTTTATCCTCAAACGACCCATTCTTTGTCCGACTCCCACCCTGCCCAACTCCCACTTTTAAATAACCCAGCTCTTCGGAAGAAGACCCTTTCAGCGCAACCATTCACACTGGGCGTTGCTCTGGCAGATAAAAGCACCTCCTCTCTCTGCCCAGCTTCCCACCCCTAAGGGGCTTTTCCACTTTTTGCCCTGCTCTTCTCCTCCCCTTGTCCATGCCCGCATGGAAACACTGTTAAAGAACTCTTTACAGCTTCCTGAGTAGGAATTATCACCTCTTCCCCAGATACTTTTCCTTGAGGGGGATACTCCCTAAGAGTGGGGTTTCAGTCCCTTCTGATTTGCAGACCAGAGACCCGAAGCAGTTCCCGCTGAACAGACTTTCAGCCCACTCACACCTTTTCCAGACAAGTCCCTGGGGCTACAAGTTCCCAGGATCCACTACCCCCCAAGGTGAAAACCTGTGGTCTCTGATGAGTCTTTCCACCTCCCCTACTGACACCAGCCCCACCTGCACCTTTCCAGTGATCCCGGCAGCGCCTTCTACAGCTGAAGTGTTGGCTGTGAAACCCAACTGATCGGCTCCACTGGAACCACCACCTTTGCTGCCATCGGTTCCACAAACCCTTTCATACCTGACGTACAACCCCCCTCTGTTTTTACACTGATATGGGCCACAAAATGGAACACCCACTATTGCTCCCCTCCTAGTGGGCTGAGGCCAGGAAAGGCTGCCCCAGCAGCAGCACTGCAGGGCAGACCAGCGAGGCAACCATCCATGGTGAAAGGAAGAGATGTGCCTCACAGTGCCTCAGACAGAAGACCCGGTCTGGCTCTCCTCGACACCAGGAACCTGTCGTGCTTTGCTTAAAAGGAGGTTTGTTTCCCCTGGGCAGTAGAGGCTGGGATTTTTCTAGGGAGAGCCTAAGGAAGCCAGGCAACCCAACTTCCATTTTCCAAAGGTACCTTTGAAAATCCTACCCCGTCCTTCGATCCCAACACATGCGACAGCAGCGATAAAATACGAGGTGATAGCGGGACTGCCTTTTTTGTTCTCCTCTCTCCTCTGGCCAGTACTTCGCTGTCTTGTCCCTTGAGGAGTCAGACCGGGGAAAAGGAGCACAAAATGCTACTAGTTTGCAGATGCTGCGGTTCCTCCGACTCCCCTCCCATCCCCCCGACCCCATCCCCCCACATTTCAAACAGTTATAAATGACTGTGCAACTCTGCAGGCAGCGGTCTCAAATAACCACACCAAGCCTCTCCCCTCCAACGGCTTTAAGTCTCTTCCTTCCTCTCTTTGGGGCTCCGGAGAGCAGCTATCAAGGTGTTTTGCTTCACTCTCCAGAGTTAAGTTGCTACTTCACCCACCACCTTTGGGAATCCGCCACGGCAGTGAATTCCCTAGGCAGGAATTCTCAGCTGAGAAATCCCTCCCTCCCGCTGTTCTTGAAGGGTTTTACCATGGGAACTGACAACAACAGGCTCCCAAATGATCTTAACTGCGAAGACAGGTTGTAAGTCAGGATTTCAGGTAGCAGAGCCCCCTCAGACGGTGGGACGGTCAGTGCCAGCCTCGAGAGCAGCCCCCCGTTTTGGGGCCTTGCCCTCCCTTGTCCAACCTCATAAAAGCTGCCCCAGAGAAGCCAGCTGTCCCGGCTCTTTAGAGCACTCTGGCAAATCCAAGAACATCTTGGAAACATTACAGCCCTCACCACACTGTGTGCGCTCTCCTCACAACTCCCTGTCCGCAGCAAGGACAGGAGATCGGCCCGTCTACTCAAAAGCAGGGTCCTCTTCCATTAGAGCAAACCAATCCTAAGGAAAGTTGCCACAGGAGCTCCAGTGCTGTGGAGCAGACAAGATAGCCCAGCCAGCTAAATACATTTGCATGACACTTTCTGCACATGGTTCAGAGCATGGCACACCCCAATCGCAGCTTTTATTCTCTTTAAGGGCCCAGCCCTGCAAACACTTAATTTTACATGTGTAAGTAGAGTCCCACTGAAGCATAATGGAGCTACTCATGCAAATAACATTGAGAGCGTGTAGGGCTGTGGCTCTGTTTCACTATTCCATCTGCAGCAGACCCAGTTTTAGAGGATCCTGCCATGCTCTCTCAGTTATTGCCGCTCACTTGTGCCAGCTAAACTATTCATGTAGCTACACTCACAGGTGAGCTGCTTAAACAGTCCAACTCTTTTTTAAAAACCCTACTAAGAAGGACAAATCCTTAAGGCCAGACCAGCTCTGATGCAGATTTCATCCCCACGAGCGCCTGAACTGGCACAACTGGAGGAGGTGGAAACATCTGAGGAACAGGAATTTTGAAGATGCGATTGAGGGAAGGCGAAATGGCGACACGGAGCCTTAGCTTGTGAAGGCTGGAGGCATTACCCTCTTCTGAAGTTACACCCTGCTCCTGAGCATCCACTCTCTGAAGCGGAACCTTCTCCAACCACACAGTCATTCCACATGAAACAAGTTTCACCCCAAATGCAACAGCAGATTGGGCCTTTTCAGTCATTAAAACTTAAAAACCTTGCCTCGAGAAAAGCCATCACCAGTACGAAGAGTGTTTTACCCAGGATCAGGGACGTGCACTCCTCCTTGCAGGTAAAGGCTGTCATCACCATGTGCATCTGTAGCCAGTACATTGCTGCTCCTGCAGTCACAGGATCCCTTGCTATTAGCTTTGACATGGCACATTTGGGCCATGCAAAATGTTCCCTACATTATTTTTTTTTTCCAGTTTATGGGCTATTTTATCTCCAGCAACTCTGTGCTTAAATTGCACCACATATTTCCTGTCTGCTGAGGCAAGATTTCCCTCTTTCAGTGCAATTATAACCTTCCAGCAGGGAAGCTCCACTAACTCCTTAAGAGCTTTGCTCTCTATAGTGCCTCCCAAACTGCATTCATGTACACCTGAGCAAAGTGGGTGTAAAACACCGTCACTGTTGGAAGTGAAGCGCACACACCATTAGGAGGATGTTTTGCTTTGTTTGTTTGCTTTAGGCTTTGGGTTTTTTTGCTCTGGTGTAGACGATCAGAGAAGCTGCAGGACAAGAGAGAGATCAGGCCGTATGAAACCATTTTCTTACCGGCTTTGAGTTTTACAGGGCTGCATGCTCTAATGAGCCTTCTCGAAAGGAAACAACCCATTTCTGTAAGGAATCCAGGTGATTATGGTTTGCATACCGCCGTGATCTCTCTGCATGGGCACGGGGGAGCTGCCTTCATGAATCTTGCTGCAGGATGAAGTCTAAAGCTGGACAATGTGAAAGAGATGGGAAAGGGCCACAGGGAGGGGTAGTTTAACATCCATTGTTAACTTCGAAAAAAAAAATCCTTCTTTCAGAAAGTCTTTTATTTATTGTAAATCATTCCTAAAAGATTAGGAAATCAGGCCTGGGGGAGGGGGAGAGATTGTTGTGGCTTTCTTTCTTGTTCGGCGTCTTTTGGTATTAGACATTATCCTGAGTCTCCTCAGTTTTGCTGAACCTCAGTCCTGCAAAAACCACCAGAGAACATTCTTAACATGGTTCGGGTGAACAGTCTCTCTGCACCCCAACATGTGTGGGACTTCACAGAGGAGGGAAATGCATGTATTTCCATATCAATGTCAGGATCCACACTCACACTCACACACATCCCTCCCAAAAACACATACACAAACCCCCACCACTGCTGGCATAAGACGACCTGTAGCTCACCTACAGCAATGACTACTGCCCAGCTGGCTGCACAGGGCACAGAGCTGTGCTGGGAAAGAAACTGGCTGATGGATCAGACCAGCACTGGCTGCACAACATCACCCTAAGGCAACAGTGTACAGATGATGGCAAACTCACCCGGGCAAGAAAGGCCTTTCTCTCACTTTCCTGTCTGCACTGGAAAGAGAGAAACAGTTGATGTTGCGTTTTCCTGTTCACATGAACATCCAAACAATCTGAGCCTTAATCAAGCTTGGGCTGGAGCATGGGAGTGTGCCTATGGTTAAAATACTCTCCTGGATCTCCAGAGAGCCTTACTGTTCATCTGCCACCCTTCAAGACGTTATGCCCCATCAAAACTCTGGGGTGATGAACAAATCCCACGTATTATAACATTCCAGTTGCTGGAAGCTCTTGCCCTATTTAGAAAGTCATCTCTCAAGTCAATAAGCAGGTATGAGGCAAATACCATGCAGCCACAGAGATAAATGCTCAGCCCTATCTCCTATGATTAAAAAAAAAGGGAGAAAAAGAAGGAGAGAACAGATACTGATTCAGAAGGGAAATCAGGTAAACAGAATCTGGGGAAACATATGCTCATGCAACACATGAAAAAATATGAATTCATACTAAACAAAGGTGGAAAATTTTGGCATGCAGAAGACTCCAAAATCAATGATTGCCCAGAAACACTGCTTCCACCACACTGTCCCCATGTTTTACAGGGAACTGCTAACACACAGTGAGTGCTGTGGTGCTGCCAGGAGAATTTGTCTGTGGAAATGCCTGACCCTTCAGCCTTTTAAGATTCTCAGCCATGACTTTACACTCCCTTTGTATGTGTATGGCCATCTTTAACATCAATGAGAACAGACATGGCAGCAGCTCACAAAATTCCCAAACTCACCTCCTGCTTCCACTCAGCCACCTGCTGAGCCTGGTACAAGACAACAAGCCCCACTGGATAGCCACACAGCCACATTCTCTGCACTGCCTGCCCCACAGTGCCAGGGCACGCATGTTTGTACTTCCATGGTGTAAAACCGAGCAAACAAAATTCCATTCCCAAAGCAATATTTCTGAGAAAGACATAACCAGATGAAGAAAGCACCTCTCATTAGGAGCATCCTTCTCACAGAATAAATAGAAGGAAGCTAAGTCTGCCCTCAGACAGACAGAAGAAGTCATCTGTTGCCAACACACATAACAGCTCTCTTGGCATAACGGGCTTTTTGTGCCTTCCAGTGCTGCTCCTCCAGCATCCGGCTGCTCCGGGTACCCGCCTGCTGCACAACAGGGCAGCGACACAGACGGGTCACACTCATGGGCTACAGCTGCCCCTACAGCCAGCAGAGAGGTGTTGGAGGGCAACATTTTGCTCGTGTGTCTCCTTCAAGGCTATAATAAAATAAAACCAACTTCAGCATGAATTTCCCTCTAGACTGAGCACAAAGAAACCAAGCCCCCACTGTACCACAGACTAGCCCATTAAAGCGAATGGTTAAACTCTTGCTATGAAAAAGTAGGCGTTGTTGTCTGTTTTGTGAGGCAGAAATCAATATTCCCGCCTCCTCTCCTTCTGTTATTTCACCTTGAGATACTCATGCTCAGTTAGATGAGATCTGAGTCTTACTCACTGTTACTGCAACTTTTCTGTCTCCAGCATTTCACAGGGTCACGGATGTTCTTGGAGTCCTAACCTGCCTGTAATTTACCATTCAGCTCCCTAAACTGGTGACTGAAGTAGTGACTGATTTTCCTCCCAAATCGCACCACTGCAGCCATTTCTAACTGTTTATCTACACCCTCACCTCCATCATTTTGCTCCCTGTGTCCTCCAATAATGACCCTCTCTCTGCCACAGCCTCTCTCTTCTCTGGACCCCTATAATTCACTCCCCGCTAGCCTCTTCCATACTGTGGCCATCTCGTGTAAATGATGTTTTATTGTGGAATGTCCCTTCTGCTCTCACTCTCCCTTTAATTTAACTGTGGGGGGTAGCTTGGTTAAGGCTATCCATTTGGGGGGAGGAAGGGGGGCAAGGGGGAAAAAACCTGGGTGACTGATGCTCAGCCCAGGCAACCCTTCAGCAAAGTTGGCTGGGAAGAGACAGTTAGGGTGAGATAAGCCAGCACCATACCCCAACAGCTGCTCCTTCAACCAGGTTTCCCTGCGGCAGTTCAGATCCAGGGCCTGGACCGATTCCCACAGATCAGGTAGCAATAATGCCAGGCTGACTGGGCTGTTCTGATGAGTCCTCTTGGATGCAGCTCTGCCTACGCTCATGCCTGCCTCTGTCACCTAAGGATTAGACAACTGCAATATGGTCTGTTTGGCACCACGCTTCAAATCCATTCATAAACTGAAGGCAGTGCAGAACTCAGTGCTCGGTTAGAAAAGCCATGTCTCTCACTCATGATCATTCTCGCATTTGTGCTCCATTTTTATGCCATCTGACCACTGGCTTTCAGACAGGTTTTAACATGTTCCTGTTGACCTCTAGTGCCTCGCATAGCAGAACCCTTCCCAGCTGACAAATCACCTCTTGTTTTCCTAGAAGCTGTGGAAAAGACACCCGGTACTCTCACACAGGTACCCGGGAGAGCAGAGTTGAGGGTTGTTCAGTCTCTAGTTTGCCATTGTTTGCCGGTGACAGTCTGATGAAATTGCTTGAGTTATAATGAAGACAGTTTTCATTATCTGTCATTTAAAAATGTCAAGGGAGCTTAGACTGAATGGATAGGTGCTACCTGTTGTTTCAAATAGCTTTTGATGAAAGAAATACATTTCAAAAGTACCAGTCACTGATTTACAGGTGCTGTGCAAAGATTACATAAAACAGTGAGATCCCTCCACAGAAAACAAGCAGATCTCACCCCTTGCTTCTTAGTTTAGACTTTGGCTTATCATCAGTGTGGTGCTGACTTTCTTCTGCAATAATCATCCTTGGCTTTCAGACCTGCAGGGTCCCAGATGAGAGAGGATGATATCAACGAAAACAGGACTCTTCATCATTACAGGGCACTCGACAGTTCTGGCCTAGCTGTATAAATGCTTCATCTTCTGCATTTTTACTTATGCACTTTTATGGTGCAAACTGTGAACAACTTTAGCAACAGATGTCATGACTGGACATACTTCTGCCCAAACATTTTGCTAGTCCCTCTCCACTAACGGTGTTGGCCTCTCACAGCTGAACTGCAATAACAGACTGTGTGAATGTTCCTAGTCCATCTGAGCACAAAATCTGCCAGCTTATTTTAAATCACACCATTTTACTCCCCAGCATGAATACATCTGCTGACAATACCTGCCTTGCAGATCCTGAGAGACACCTAGGGCAGCATGCTTCTTTTCCATCTGTATTTCCATTATATTTCAGAGCATCCATTTAACATGTGAGATGGTGCTGTTTAGGGGACCTGCCTCGGTAAGGTAACTCTGATGGGACACTCCCTGTGCCTTGCCTTGCTTACAAGACAGGCTGTTCCCTACCCACAGCCTGCACCTTTTGCCTGTCCTCTCTGTCAAACCAAGACAAAATGAATGCCAGCAGTCCATACAGCAGCATGCAAGAAATCCAGTTAATACTCTGTGTACAGTCTTTAAGAACCACTTGTATTTTTGGTCATTGCTTTTATATGAGAATCCAGCATCAAAGACTGTAGCAAGAATCTCATGTAAACATTTAAATGCTGAGGCACAGATACCTTCTACTTAAGAATCAGATAACAAAGACTGCTGCTGCTCTGTCCAGTGACACGACTTCAGCCTGCCTGGGTCCCATGCAGATCAGCTGGCTTCCTCTTCCAAGTCCCTATTTCCCCCATGTGCAGCAACTGCAGTGTCTCCCACGGTGTTCCTGCTCTTGGTGGTGTACATGATGTTAAAACCTAATATTTGATGGTAATGAGGAAGGAGAGAAGGACTGAGCCTTAGGATGGTGGACTCTGAAAGTCACAGATGTGGGGAAGAAATAAGATCGTTCCCAGACCTGATCATTTCCATGTCTTGTTTCCATTGAGACAATGTTTCCCAGGCACTTACTTTAGTCATCTTTACAAAGCATCTCCCAAAGAAAAGGGTTTATGTTCCTGGCAACACGTTCCAAAAAAACATGTCCCCAGCTCCCTGCTGCCATAAGCAAGAACAACTCCAATGATTTCAATAAAGCTGCACTTTCTGTGGCCCTAAGGCTATAACACTACAGTAAACAAAGCCAAATTCCATAAGCCAGATGCTTTAAGGTCTGAATCCAAGTCTTCAACATCTTACACATATGATCCACCAGTAGATGACTGAACCCACACCTTCAGCTGGCTGTCACCAAGCTCTGTCACCCACCAGCAGAACACGGATCCCAGGGCCTCATCCTGGGGCACAGCAATGGCTGGTGGACATCAGCCTGCTCCTTGAAAGGGCAGTGGTACCTCTCTCCTCTAGGATCTGTGCTGTGCCAGCATTCCCAGCCTCCCTGCTGAGTCCTCCGCCCCCTCCAAAAAGAAACTCCCATTCCCTACTCTAATAACCACAAGGATGAGTTTGACAAATAAAATGCTTATACCAAACCCAAATGACCTTACAATTTCAGCTGTTTACCACTCCAGTTTCTTCTTCACCTTCCCATCCCATCAGCTTGTTTTCCTTTACATTTAAGACATCCAAACAAACGCCGCTCACTCCAAGGACGGGATGGCTCAAGGCTGTTGCCAGACTAGTTCTGGGATCCACTGGCACATGCTGGAAGCAGACCCATGGCTCAGTTAGATGACAGCATACATCCTGGAGTAATAAGGATGCAGTGCTGGATAGTTGCTCAGGACTGAGTGAACACAGCAAATGAATGGTCTTTCCAGCTTCAGAAGTGGCCCCTGAAGAGCATCAGTAAGGGACTTTGGCTTGATAATATAGTCTGGGGAATCTACTGCACACAGCTCCAGTGAGTAATGCTGAAAATCCATAGGCAAAGGAAATGTTTTAAAACAGAGGAGGAAAATCTACTTGAAATCAATACTGTGGAGGTCTCTAAAAGGAAACACTCTGCAAAAAAGGACACATTTGCCACATATAAATCTTTAATGATACCTTGTAGTTTTAACAAAGCATTAAAAAACCCCAAACAAACAAAAAACCAACCCCAGTCGCTGTAATACACCTGAGAGAGCAATCATCCTCACATGGCAAAATATGATTTTCACACCTGGTAAATGAAATGACTCTGCTGCATCCCAAGGCCAGGGTTAGGGGCTAAGGTGAGCTGTTAATGGAAGGTTAGAGACCACGAAACAGCTCTTCAGGGAGCACCTTTCAGATGCTCTTTTCATGTCCAGCAGTTGCACAGTAATCAGAAGGCACTGGCAGCACATACTGAAGTCCCTGTCGCTGACAGTGGTTCTAACTGTGCAGTCACCAGTTGATAGCCTGGATTAAGATACTGGCTGGCACACCCGTGCTCCTCTGACTCAGGAGAAGGCTCACTCTCTTCTAAGAGCAATTCTGTACTCTTTCATCTCCCTCCTGGCATGCCTTCTGCAGCACACCAGGGTTAACCACTCGCTCTCTCCTCGCAGATGAAGAGCCGAGACAACAAACTTTTCAATCGCACACAGCTCGAGCCTCTGCGCCATTAAGAGAAAAGCACGCACTGAAAAAATGAAGGAAAATCCTGACCGCAGCCATGCTGGTAGGAACCTGATGACATTCAGAATCTGTCCTGCATCAGCACGGGAGACTGCCAGATCCAGGCAGGATGGCTATGCAATTTGCCAATCACTGAGGGAACAAGAGAGAAGTGAGACCTGCAGGGAGCCAACAGGCCCTGGAGGTACAGATATTTACAACAAAAAATCTGAGTGGAGTCAGCAAGAGGAAGAAGCACAGAGAAATACACTACATGATCTAGCACCAAACAAGACGCGTGGCTTAACAAGATGCTTTAGAATATCTGGCTCCATAAATTAGACTGTGATTCCCAGTTCTTTAGCTCCCAGCTCCTGCTGATTTCTGAGTATAAAGGGGATGTTTGTCACTCCCAAGATCAGACACCAGCTCGAATGCCTTTCAAGAAGTACACACATGAGTATGTTCCTAGGGAAGAACGAGCTAGAGCTAAGCCTTCAAATGAGCACAAGGAGAACCTCCTGCCCACAGACAGGAAAGTGGTAACCTCCTTCACTTCCTTTGTGGCTTTAACCTAAACCACAACTCCTCCCTTTGGGTTAGAAGTCTCTTCCACTCATTCAGATGTTTGTCAGCTTGTCTCTCTCTAATACCCAGCATCCGTCACTGCCACATAGGGAAAAAACAACAGCTCTCTTCTTTTTTTCCTCTCTCCCACACCCCTTTTGCAGTTTCTTCCCTAAACAAGAATGGCTTCAATGCATGGCAAAGCAAGTCTAAACTACAGCTCTTCAGGCACAGGCACAGAAATTAGCAATTGCAACATGAGGGGGCAGGGAAAAAGGAGACGTTGGCATACAGGCTACACCAACATTTGGGAATGCTGGCAGTGAGGAAACACTGCTGCCAGCAGGAAGAGCGATGCCAAAATAACTCACAGGGCTTTTCCATGAGCGCGAGCACTCCTTCCCAGCCCGGGGTCCAACGTTCCTTCTTCTCCCCCCCCCCCCCCGAGAGCTTCAGAACATGGATGAGGTGCTGGAAGCGAGGGGCAGAGGGGGGTGAGCACAGGGAGGAGCTGTGCTGCCACTCAGGAGGCCCTGTGCATAAGGAGGTGAGAAGGGCAGATCCCATCATCCCTAGTGTGGGGCATCAATTAGGGAGAGGCACCGCCGGCCCTCCCCTGAGATCCCATCATCTGCTGAAGGTATTTTTAAGCATGTGAGAGACAGAGGCTCCCACCCCAAACCCTCCTGATCCAAAGGCTTAACCTTATCATACCCAGGTGATACTGGGGTGTTTCAGAGAAAGTTAAGCCTTGTGAAAGGTTTGAGCAGTTTTTTGACCACAGGAGTTTTTTGCTACCTTAAAACTGCCTGTACCAGGTAGACAGAGAATTACTCAGGGGGAAACCTCTCCCACTGCTCCCACTGCAACACTCCGGGCAGCCACACATGGTATCAGGTGATGCAGTCACTCCCTTGTCACCTGCCACTCCCAGGACACTTCAGAACTATGTAATGTGAAAGGAAATGCCTTTTATTCCTTCAAGGTTTTCAGAAATTTCAAATTTCTATATGTGATCAGGTTAAAAAAAATTAGTCTTCAAAAATTATACCTAGAAACTACAACCAAATTAATTAAATGCGAGATTTCATTTTACCTTCTTGAAACACTCCATTTTGACAGCTTCAAAACTTTTCTCCCTTTTTTTTTTTCAAGATGAAACACAAAACTGGAATCAACTTTTCCTGAAAATAGCAACAGTTCTGGCAAATCAGCAATTTTCTGAGAAAAATTATCTCTGGAGAAAAATCTTAACAAAACCTAGATCTATTATTTCCTCCCAACGCCACACAAGAATATGCCTCCGTGGTGCAATTCAGCCTTAAGTTTCATAGCAACTCAGATTCAGACATATTGCACACACAGATATTAGAATATGCCTTCGACATCATGAGCACAATGCAAAACAGTGTATATACAATATGGCCAAGCAATGCTGCTATGGAAACCCTTGCTCTGAATTCCCGTATATGGGGTGTTTAAATTCCTGTCCCTAATATTGCTTTAACAGAATTTTGTGTACTTTATTTCCTTGCTCAAGTCATCTCCCTCTTCCTGGGAGGACTCTCCCCCTTGGAAAAGGAAGATGTTTCTGTGGGTGAAGCAGAAGGTAATGAGACCTGCACCGCATTCCTGGTGCTGCCATATACACCAGCTCCTTGAGCTACAGCAAGAGAAGTGATGGATTTGTGCCTCAGTTTCTGCAGCTGTAAAATGGAAATACGATGACGTTTTACTTCGGATATGACTTGGATGTGCTTTGAAACCCTTTGTGACAGTCAGAAGATACATGCATCCTTATTCCTATTTGTTACTTTCCGTAGGCGAGGAGTTACTGTCCTCTACAGACCTATGCTGATGATCTCTATACTGGAGAACCAAATCAGGAAGTACAGTCGCCCACTCATGTAGCAAACAGATAAGTAATAAAGCAGCACACTTGCCAACTCCTAAGGAGGTGGTTTCTTAAAAAGACATAGGAAGCTTTCATGTTTTGATGCTGACTAATTTCAGAAAGTTCCCGTTTCACTCTCTTGATCTTAAACTTCTTCAAAAAATATGTTTACCTGCTCTTCTGAAGTGTATTCTGCTGGGGAGGGTCAAACTGGCTAGATTAAAGGTGACAGTGCTGGAAGAGAAGAGGACACTTTATCATCTCCTCCAGTTGCTCCTGGTGACCATAGTGGTACCTTTCAGGTCTCACCCCAACAAGGAGAGGACACTGCAGCCAGCAGTGGCCATCTGAAACTCTGCCTTCTGCTTCGGGGTGCAGCACATCCCGGGGTGCACGGCACCACCTCCTGCAAAATCTGAGCAGAATGTGCAGCCTAATCACCACCACCCAGCAGCCAAACTCACCCCTGCAATCCACTGATCGCAAATGCAGATTAACTTACTTGTATTTGTCTGATGGTGTAATTGCCAGACTGCACATTCAAATGAGTATTTGTTTAACTGTGTGATACACAGATAGAGCTTATGCACTTGAGGCCAAATTTACCCCTGTTGTAATTTCCCTAACTCCAGTAGCAATTACTCAAAGGACTAATTTGGCCCACAGTGTTTCCTAGTATATGTGATTCATCATTTCTTTCCTATAACAAAGAATAATACACTGTTTCAATCAGTGGTGATATCCTGGCCTCCTTGAGGCTGCCGGACTCCCTGTTTAATCAGACATAAAACAAATCACTTGCAGAGGCAGAGGCGTACAAGCATGCTTTAATTACAATATTGTAACACCAATTAGAGATCTATCTAATCGAGAACTCAGTACTTCCTACTCGAGTATTACTCCCATGTTGGGATAATTACTGCTAATTAAGCTTGGAACTAATTAGGCCAAATGATCTCATTTATACCAACATAGATGACTTCTAGGAGTTCACACACCAAAAAAAAAAAAATCCAAGGGTGATTTTATCATTCCTGGACTCATCTGCACTTCACTTTTGAAATGGACTGTCCCTTCCCAATGCATAATCCCTGCTAGAACTGAAGTCCCAGATCTCAGATGATCTCACACTCTTCCAAGGCAGAGAAACGCTCTCTGAAGGTGTTTCACTGGGTTGGCCCAAATCACCTTCTACTCCAATCCACACAGAGTCATGTCCCATCACGGCCTGGTTCATTCCAAACCCACAGGCTGCACTCACACCGTTATGGTCACAGCTCTCAGTGCACTTAGCACTACCCACACTGCCGTGACTGCTGCACAGAATAAGGTTTGCTGTAGAGTGCTGTGCAGTGTTAAGGCAATAACTGTAAAAAAAACCCCAAACAACTCTTAAACATGCAGACAGCCACATGTACTTGTTGAATGATCTGCATCAATGCTGTGTATAATTAGAAATGGCATCCCAACGCCATTCGGTAACGGTGGCCCAGCTGTGCTGTATGGGATGGCTGAGGGCAGGGGCTGACTCCAGCTGATGGAGCTCCTTGCAAAGCCCGTCTGTGCTACAAGGCTCCTCGTGCTCACAGTCTGACTGCATCTAACAAAGTTGGCTTCACACTGCAGGCAGAAAAATAAAGGACAGCCCGTGAAGCTCTGTTTATGTTGCAGCTTCTCCTCCTCCCCTCCAACCCCAAAATTCTGAACCAGCTCAGCAATGAGATTCTCAGGTTGAAGAGACACCAAGGCAGCTTCCATTTAGACCTGCTCTTAGCTTATGGAAAGAGTCACAAGCAGTAAGTAGGGTGTTCCCCACCTAATGGTTGAACAGAGTGGGGTAAAACAAACCTGAAAAACAAAACCTTTGCATTTTTGTCTGGGTATTTGGGGGACTGTGAGTTAGCTTCTCACCCAAAGATGGTTTGCACCAGTGGCATGATTTCCTCCCTGCAGCATTTGCCACTTTCAGATTCCTGGATGAGTGAAAGAATGCCATCTACCAAAATACCTGTCCCACCTCTCAAAGGGACTGGACATCTTTCAAATGCAAGGAAGGGCTAGTACCCAAGAACTGGCTGGGAGCACCCATCCTGGCACATAGCTGTCTGTGCTACAAAATTCACAAACCTACGTGGTCTCCTGTCCCTGGGTGGTCAGAGCACCTCAGCACCTCTGCTTTGCCTGTCCCATCTGCAGAGGCTGCAAACCAGTGGGTCTGTGCTATCAGACAACACAGGTAAGTCAAGAAGGGTTCAGTCACACTCACTGCACAGGCCACTTCTCTCTGCACAACCCTTCTTCCAACTCCTGCCTCAAATTCAAGCCTTCCGGGACCGGCTTCGAGGTGCAGCATGTAGTAAAACCTGCTTTCCCTTTACTTCTGGCTTTCTCTCACCAGCTGCTTTTATTACTCCTAAAGCTTCCTCCTAAACACTTCTTTTTCTCACGCTTCCTTGTACTTCAGGCTGGAATCCTGAAGCTGCTGAACTCAGGAATTCACCATTGTCTCCAGGTCTTCTTCCAGCTTGCCCCTTTATCCTCACAGCAATCATTGTTCCCTGGTGAGTCACAGACACCCCCCCCTTCTCCCCTCCAAATGCCTCCTGAACAATCTTCTCTTTTCCAAAGCCTGTCAAAACTGAGCCCAGCAGGATTCCCTACACCAACCTGACCTGGTTACAATACCTCCTGGAACTGATCCTCCAGCTGTCTGTGAAATTTCTGTAGAAGTGCCATTACTTTATGCAGTACCATTAGCAAAAGACTAATAAATAATGCACAGGAATAACACAATCCCCAATAAACAATGTACTGCTTCTTCTCCTATTTTCTTAAGTGAGCAACATGGATCCTAAATCTGATCTCCCCCCTCCAGTTGTTACCCAATGCTTTTCTCAGCTACCAAACTCTCTCTTCCCTCCCCTAGCAAGCCTGTCATTCCTTTCTTCCCAGCTGCCAGGGCCTTCCTTGCTACCTCCTCCAGCCCAAATACACCAGCAGACGTGAATGCAAGCGTCCATACAACACAAATGCAAACACCCGGACACATATCAGGTTGCATGCTGAAAATGCACATTTTCATACGCTGCAATAGCACATGGAAACGTGCACGGCTCACCGAGTATCATATTTATTTGGGTATCTGCTGGAACCCCTCTAGGAAAAGGTGAGTTGGAGGAGATCTTCTGATGAAAACAAAATTGCTGAATCCAAAGTCTGGGCAAGACAGTGGTAGATATATGATCAGGACGGTGTTGGGCAGAAGAACACATTGGGCCCAGGGGGCCTCTGAATGGCATCTTTAGCATTAAAAGGGAGGAATTCAGGAGCTTTAGATCAGAAGTGCATCCCAGACAGGCATTAGACTCTACTAAATAAGGTGCCTTACACCGACAGAGTGCCAGAAACCTCCTAACATCCTCCCCATGGTCTGCACACAGGCAGAGGGCAGAAGCCAAGCAGACAAGCTCTCTGTGTCAAGCTCCCTATGTAAGAGAGCAGGGAAGGGAAGCAACATCCTGGTGAAGGAACATCAAGTCACAGCCACTACAGAAAGCACCATGAATGCTCTAATCTGGGACTGCAGTAAGTCCTTCAGGACAGGGACCGTCTCTTTCCAGGGTCTGGACAGCAGGACTCCAGCCCCGTATCAACACTTCAGCATGCAGTGTACAAATATTTACTGTCACCAGAGGCCTGCAGAGAGAGGCTGTCTCAGATGGACCTCCCCAGGGGCATCTGCAGGGATGATGGAGGTCTGAGTCAGTGACCTAAGACCCAGACCTGGGGAGCTCTCTGTGAGTCACAGTGCAGCATGTTCCTTCCAGACAGGTTCCCTCAGTTATTTTCAAACACTCACTGATATGGGGGTTTTAACATTTATTTTTTTTTCCAGAGAAAATTCCATACTTCTATCCAGGGTGCCTCTGCCTACGTGCAGAGGTCCAGTTGGTGGCCAGCCCTGCATGGCCCTAAATGGTCAACACTATGTGAAAACAAGAGGCAGAAAAGCGCAAAGAAACACACATGGACCAGAAATAATCAAACTCTCATTCTCCCAGAGCACTAGCCATGGGAAAACATGCAGGGTCCCAGCAGCAAGATGGCAGGAGTGTGGGGATGTTGGCCCTGTCCCCTCACATCCTGAATATCTGGACTGGTACCAGCTCCATTTCCAAAAGGACAGCAAAGGGGCTGCTGCTTATTGCAGGCAGCTGCCAGGTTTGTATCCTCAACCCTCCCAAGAGCCCTGGCTCAGGCTCTTGTTGCGTAAGGCAGGGACACATCCCTAAGTCTGAGGTTTAGAAACAAGATGTATGTATTTGTTATTATTTTCAGTTATCTGAGTGCGGTAAAGGTCAGAACACTTATCTTCTGGGGTTGGTTCCTGCTCCCACTCATGTGGTTCAAAACCAATTGAATGATTTTCTGCATACTTCCCAGACAGAAAAAAATCCAGGGGGAATGAAACCTGATACAGGGCATTTTCTAAAGAGGATCTGTGGGAAAAAAAGGATCCACCGCAATGGGAGGAAGGGCTTGTGGGCATTCCTGGGTACCTCCTCCCCAGTCCCTGTTACACACAATGAAACATGAATAAAGATGACTGGGGAGGCCACAGCTTTTTACCTAAGTTTTAGCCTAAGCTGATCTCAAGGACTGGAGTGGACAGTATCACCTACGTGATAATCCCAGAGCTGCATTTTGGGTGACAAGATTCAAGGACACAGCTGCACGTCCTGTGCCCTCTGCACGGGCTGCTCCATAATCTCCAAGATTAATTTATGCAAAATATGGGAAGATGTGCTTTTTCCTTTTGCAGTGAATGACTTCATTAACCTTTCAGGAGCTTGCCAATAGTGAAGTAGAAGCAATGGGAAAATCACACTTCTGGGAAAAGGGGACTTCTGCCACTGTAGCTAACAGCACACAGCTGGGAGAGGCCAAAGGATGGACCCTGATTTAGGAATCTGCCTTCCCCCTCTGCCCTCCCTGATACCCTCCAGTCTCTGCCCTGCTCTTGAAATAGTCCTTCTCCCCTGGCTGCTGACAACTCACA